ATAACAAACGGAGGAAAATGTTAATAATTCAGGATGATTTGCCATCACCATTTTCTGATTTGATGATTATTAGTTATGATGACGATGATGATGAAAATATTAATTCGAATAATAATGGAAAAGAAAGTTTCGTAATGCTTCAAAAGAAACTGGCAAGGCATGTTTGTAATGAGGGATGTTTTGCTCATTTGCCAGTCATTAATTATAGACATTTGTTTGTTGATTCTCATCATGAGTGTTTGGAAGTTGGTCCTAGCCATAATCTACTTGATGAAAAATGTGAGAAATCCTATTCTAAACTGGCTATTGAAATTTTGGATGAGTTTATAAGAGAAAGCGATTCATTTGTTGGAATAGTGAACAAGATTCACTTCCTTGAACCAAACTCACTATATTTCAGTGAAAACAATATTGATAGATTGGATCAATTTACTATCGAATATAGAAAATGTGGGAAAATATGTCTCTACCACAAAGTGGATTTAGATTTTGATATTATCATTTTATTAATTAACAAATTCGAATTCCTTTACCTTGGAAATGCCGACTCTCAAGCATTTTATGGAATGCCAGGATTGACCTATTCGAGCTCTCATAATTGTGATGAAATGTCTTCACTTTTCCCCAAAAAGATTGCAAATGATTCGTTTGATCCTATTCCATTAGACAAATTATTACTTGAAGCAAAGAATTATTTTCAATTTGTATTATATTAATCCAACTTTAAGTTTCTGATGCTGAACTCGCATTTCTTGCAATGAATATTAAGTTATCTTCCACAATTTAGTTGTATTGACCCATAGACTACAACTGGGTTGCGAACAAACATTAGAAAATGTTAGAAAGCTGCTTTAATGCATCCTCAAATATCCACTCAATTCTAATAATAAAAAAGTCAATTTCGTCTTACTATTTCTCCAAAATTTAAAATTTCAATTAAAAAAAAATGATTCACAACAATCACTATTCAGATATTGCTTTACATTTAGAAAATACAGGTCAGCCAATGCACAATGATCATTCTAAACTTTACAATGTATTACAAGACAAAATTCAAGAACAATCTGAAGAAGCAGTAGCTCTTCATGTCAATTATCAAATGATTTTAGTTAATATTAGAAAATCCCGAAAGAAGAGAGCCATCAGACGTTTAATTATTCCTCCCATGCTATTGAATGAAAAATTTGTTGCAATGGAACTTGTAAAATCGTGGGCCGGTTATTTATGTAAATTTACTAATTTTTGTAATGATTATGATGTGGTACTTGCTGCTGTTTCGAAAAATGGTTCTAGTCTACAGTTTTTACCGAAAGGTCATGCATTTTGTGATGATTTTCAAATTGCTTACCAAGCTGTAAATTCAAATTTTACTTCCTATCAATATTTGTCAGATAATATGAAAATGGATAGGAGAATTGTGTTGAGAGCAGTTAAGAGTCAGCTGCCCTATGGTTTTCTACCAATCCAATTTAAAAAGGATAGAGAAATCATGTTGGAAGTGATGAAATTTCAATACTATGTTGCCTATAAGGATTTGGAAGATTTTCTTGATGATGGAGAAATAGTTATCAGAGCTAAACGATACAATACCTCTTTCATTGGTAAATTATCTGAAAGATTGAGGAATGATTACAGTTTTATTGAAAAATGTACACGAGCCAATCCAGAAAGTTTCTTACAATTTCCAAAGAAATATTGTGAAAACTTTGAAATTGTAAAAAGGTTTTCGAAAAGCCATTTACCTCTTTCACAAGTTCCAGAAATATGGAGATCAAACTTGGAAATTGTTACGAATTGTGTATCGAGGAGCGAAAGTGATATAGCCCATCTTCCGCGTATTGTGTGGAAAAATGTTGATTTTCTATTGCAACTAGTTGCAAAACATAACTCTCTTGGATATTATATTTTCTACTTTATGCCAAAAGGTAGAGTATCCATCATTTTTCTTTTTTGAACCCTTAATTTTGTCCAATATAATTTCAGACCTGGTGTACAATAATGTATTTGTCGAAACAGTTTTATCTGTGTGTCCACATGCCTACTATTCACTAAGCGAGCGATACAAGAATAAGGAATTGACAAGAATGGTAAAATCTAAAAGCAAACCTTAGTACATTCTCAATCATTTTCCAAAGAAATTATTACAAGATAGAGAGTTAGTGCTTGAAAGTTTGTCTGGAGTGACCCAGCCCTTACATCAGTTACCATTAGAGTGCAGAGATGATAGAGAAATAATCATTATGGCTCTCAAAACAATTCCAGAAGAACAATTAAGATTGTATGGTGTGGAATTGCTGAAAGATGGTAGATTTCTTAGAGAATTGGTTGAAATATTTCCGAGTTTAGGCGGGATCCCGTGCTGCAATCTAGCTTGTTGTGGGTTGAATAAACCTGTTAAAAATTTGCCTCCCTTGGGAATCGAACCCAAGACCTCTGTCTTACTAGGACAGCGCTACTGCCAACTGAGCTAGGAAGGCTTGCTGAAAAATAAAAATGATTACATCTGAAAACATAATATGACTCTAGGTAAAGTTTGAAAGAACTTGTTATTTTTTTTTTGTTAATTGTATTCAATCAATTATTATAATTTAACAATTTAATAAACAGCATTTTGAATGTACAATGAGAGAACAGAAATCCATCCGAAAGCCCAAACCAAAGTTCTAATAAATCCTGGGAAACCCAAAACATAAACAATTTGGAAGACAGTTCTAGCAGCAATGAAACAAATTGATTCCTTAACCAATGAAAGAGCCAACAATGAGGCACGTTCACTAGAATCACCATTAATTCTGAGCAAAGTGACAGCAACAATAATACCAAAACCAATCAAAGCTTCGAATGCGTTATTGTGAGCACCCAAAGCTCTTGATCCGAATCCAGTCAACTTGGATTGTTGTTCTCTTGGAGTATCATTGTCCAATTTACCATTTCCTTCAATGATTTGACCCAAAATGACTGGAACTTTAGAAGTCATTGTGTAGGCAAAAGCAATGAGTAAAGCAATGAATGGGATTGAAGAAACTCTAATATTAATTTCAACAAATTCATTAATTGGGAAGAGAGGAATATTAATATTCAATTCTTTAACTTTTGGATTATCATTAATTAATCTGATGACTTGATTGATTGGATTAACAATGGCAGGTGGAAGAACATTAACATTTTGAGAGAAGAGAGGTGCAGCTCTTTCTCCTTCCTTGTACAATCTCTTCAATCTAGAGTCATGTTGAGTGACAAGATTTGATTGGTAAACCAAGTGATTGTGTGCGAGGTGAAGGATCAAGAATAAAATCAACAATACTACAAGAGTAATGTATGAACTAAAAATAATTCTACCCCAACTCTTTCCTTTAACAACTTCCTTTGTTGATTTACCAACAGAGGTGACAGTGGTTTTTTCAACTGTAGGTTCACTCTTTTTTTCAGTAGTTTGCTTTTTAGACATTTTTTTTATATCGCAATTTTCCGAGCTCTTGATATTTGTTTGATGATCTGAACACGTGTTCAACCTCACCATTGATTTTCGATGGATTACCTTGCTTCCGCGCTACAATAATGGTGTGAGAGGAAATAAGATTGACAAAGTACTAAAATGATTTTTGATGGCAATGAAGATAAAATTTTATTTTGATCATTAAATTAAAAACTGATGAGTGTGGGATTTGAACCCACGCCCTTGCGGAACACGGTATTAATCATACCTTAACGTGTCGTCTTAGACCACTCGACCAACTCACCATCGATTCAACACTAATCAAAAGGTAAATAAATACTGATACAGGAACAGATGTAAAAGAAAATAAATTATTTTGTAAATAACAATCGTTGGCTCTTATTTTACACAAAGCTCCCTACTCAGCTTTATTTGTTTTATAATTTAGTTTTTAATCTAGGTTGTAAATTTAAGCACTGTAATTGATGGAGAGACCGACCTTTGAAACATTCTTAGCAAAGACATCAGCTTCAGCAGAAATAGAAGTAGTCAAACGTGGGTTAACAGTCAAAGAGTAAGTGGCATTAGCAATACCCTTAGTGTTAATGTTAGCCTTGATGGAAGAATCGCTATCAATCTTGTATTGAGTACCGAGAGTGAAAACTGGAGCCTTGTCACTCTTAAGTTCGTGAGCAAATTCACCAGCAACGGAGACACTATCGTCAATCTTTTGAGCATAACCAACTCTGATCTTCTTCAAAGAATCTTCCAATTGTGTGGCAACATCAATATTCTTCATGGAGTATCTAGCACCAACAGTGTACTTCTTGAGTGGGTTAGCTTCCTTTGGCAAAGCCTTGATTTGAGCATCACCACCAACAACCAAACCTTCAACAACTTGAGCAGTGGCAGTAGCAGTCAAAAGGAGAGCACCACCACAAGTATGGTCAAAGTTACCAGTCAAGTGGAACTTTTCAGCAGTGTAATCCAAATTACCAGTGACCTTGTTATCAGCACAAGCAGTCTTCATCTTGCTTGAGAGATCAGCATTCAAACCCTTAGCAACACCAGAAGCAACAACGGTAACACCAACAGTGGCATCTTGATCCAAAGATCCGTTAACAGTGTAAGCAACACCACCTTGCTTGAGCTTTTGGCTCCATGAGAGAGAGGATTCAACCTTTCCATCAGCGTTAGCTCTAGCACCTCTAACAGCAACAGAGAAGTCTGGGTTAGCCTTGGTGGAAACAGAGATGGAAACCTTGTCAGCAGAATCAGTGGAGAGGATGCTCTTGACTGGTTTGTAGAGAGTAGCGAAGGAGTACATTTGTGTTATGATGTAAAATATTTTTTTTTTAAATTTTTTTATTGGGTTGGCTAACAAAGCACGTTATCAATGCATTGAATTTTACCAAAACCTTCCCTACAACCCTTCAATGAAAAATTACCGTTATGATGATATGAAAATTTTCGCGTCTTTTTTGAGGTGGCCATTTGCAAGCCTTCTTCAATAATAACAGACGACGAATTATTGAATTTTCAAATATTACTTCAAATGTAAGGACCTTCGTCATCATTGTCATCATTGTGTTAGATAAAGCAAATACCTTCTCAATACAACTAATAGTGGAGAGATGTGCTGACATTCGAGTTTATCACTATTGTTTAAAGGGAGAATTAATCATCATTCCAATCAATATTGGTCATAGTTTGGAAAGGATGAAGTGAACACTACATTTTACAAAAATATTTGAAGGATCAACAAACTACAGTTGTTTCTTCTTTGAATAACTACAAAATTGGAGAATGTGAAACAATGTGGTGCAACATGATGATTCACCATATGTGTATGCATTTCATTGAAAGAAGAAGCAAATATTGATTTAATTTGTAATTCCTAGAGAGATTTATTAAAGATTGGAAATTGACAAGATTAATTGCCAAGTGCCATCTTGTTTCCTAGATGTAATAATTTGATGGTGATGATCATGAATGATCTATTTACAAACATCTCCTCCATTTGGAGATGTTCAATTATTTGAGTGTAGGTAAAATTGGAATCTTACGAAAATATCTATTGAGAAGAGGCACCAGCTCTAGCTCTGAATCTTGGAGCTTGATTAGAGCTCTTATCCTTAACCAAGTGATACTTGTAAGCTTCGAATAACAATGGATGTTGAGGAACAAGTTGAGTTGGTTCAACAACGTTGGCCAATTGTTCAGAACTCATCAATGGATATCTAACGTGTTCAATAATCTTTGAAATATTTGGAGTTTCGAATGGCAAATGCTTTCTCAATTCAGCCCATTTTTGAACAGCTTCAAAGACCAAAACTTCTTCCAAAGGTTCCAATTGGAGCGAATCACGAGAAATGATTTGGATAATGGTTGATGTCTTGACATTCTTAATAGTTTCAGACTTGAGAACTCTCTTAATATGTTCGTCAATGTACTTGTAACAGTGCTTGACCAACTCTTGAGCCTTATTTTCAATGGCCATTTCCAACAATTGAGCCATATTTTCATAGTCACCATGGGCGATCAAGTAATTTTCACACAACTTCTTCAAACATGGAATGCCAAATTCTTCAGATTGTACAAAGACATCCAAAACATTGTCCAATCTCAATTTGATTTGACCAGTGTACATGTATTCCAAAACTCTTCCAAAGATTTCTGGATGAATATCTTCACGTTCCCAAGTGTAACGTTGCTTATTAGATTGGATATCACCTGTAACTGAGGCAGTTGAGCTCAACAAGGCACGGAAGTATGCTGAACGGCTTGAGAGAATGAAACGATGAACGTAATACTTGGTAGCATTACCTGGACCACATTGAATAACAAAATCACTGAATTGCTTATCGAAAACACAGGCACTTAATTGTTCAGACATGTTGACAAGATCCTTGTGGACTTCTTCCAAATTGACATCATCAGAGGAGATTTCCAATTGAGCTGCAGAGGCCTTCTTCAAAAGCTTCTTTTCAACTTGGACAATCTTGTGTGAGGAATCATCCATAGAAATTGGAATGGCCTCTGGTGAACGTTTAGCCAAAGCTTCATCCATTGAAACAATTTCATCTTCACAAGTGTTTCTTCTTTGTGGAGTGACTGGAACTTGTTCTTCAGCTGAACCAGATGATGAAGTGCTAGTAGCATCATTTTGATAATTCTCTTCTTCGGTAGCAGTGAATGGCTTACGGAGAACTTTAGCTTTCATGTTGGCCAACATTTTTCTTGGTGTGGAAACTTTTTGTGGAGTATTGGCATTCTTACGTGGACTGGTGAGAACATTGGATGGAGGAATATTCTCAGAGTTTGGATTGTAGTAGAATGCTGGTGGTGGAGAGGAGTGTTGTTGTTTGGATCCAAAAAGCTTGTTAGACATTTTTTTGTTGTTTGTTGATGAGAATGATAGCTGGCAGATTTTCATTTTAAATTCAAAAATTTGTGTAACGGTTTGTAACGGCGCCTTTTGTGACAATTGAAATCTTGGAAACAAAAGAGGCCAATTTAACTGTTATTCACATCTCTTTTGAGAATATTGAACGGAATGACAAGTTTTGTAAAGTATTACACTGAATCTTTACAAATTATTATACACTCACTTACTTTGAGGAACATCTTTTAAAACTAATCATTTCTCCATAAAAACAATCAAGAATAAACCTTGTCAAAGAAACAAAGAAACAAATCTATTCGAAACTAAACTTGCTTCAACAAACAAACTTCCAACTATCATTACATCTTTCAATTGTCAAAAATCGAAGGGTGGGATAATAACAAAGTGGAAATACCTCTTCATAATATTAAAAAATGAGTAATGATGATTCTCTGATAACATCAATGCCAACGTCATCATTGACAAGCTGCAGCGGCACAGAAGGCAATATTTCGTCTGCTATTCCTGACGATTCCTCGAGTAGTAAAGGAGGCGAATCTTCTTCCTTATCACCTAATCATCATCATGTTGACGCTATGAAAAAACTTGATTGTTCACAACATCATGATGATAATTCAGAATCTTCTTCCATTCCAACAACAACAACAACAACACCAACAACAATAATCAATAGAACTATAAAGGACGTATCAGCAGCTGTTCTCTATCAAAGTGTTTCAACTTCATTGGAAGATATGAATGGGAATAATTTAATAGAACACCAATCATCGTCCAATTCATCCTCTTCCTCATCGATTGTCACGGAATTGGGTGTTGTCTATCCAATATCATCATCATCATCAACACTTTCATCATCACAAAATGATGAAATTAATAATAACAATAATTCATCATCAGCAACAATTGCATCATCATCAACAGCCCTAACATCCAATACAACTAGCACGAGGAAACCACTCGTTATTACTTCATCCTTGCCAACTCCACCCTCCGAAATTAGTCTTCTCAATCAGGTGGCTTCTAATCATGAAAATCAGGAAAGTTCTAATCATTCAAATCCTCACAATAGTATGAGTGATATAAGTACGAGAAGTACCACAGAGGAGAATGTCTTTCCTCATTCACAGATAGATCCCTATGATTTGGGAATTACATCTTCCGGAAGAAAGATTAGAGATTCTCTCATTATTTGCTCGGGTCCAACTACAAGTAGTACTGTATTACCATTTTCAACTCTTTCACTTGCTATTCAGTCCAATAAGAGAAGTAGTACATCAAGCACTACAAGTAGTACAGTTGGTGTTAATACTAATGGAGGAGTTACGAATAGAAAGAAGGATAAAAATCCACCAGCTCAGTCAATTGTTACATCAACCCAACAAGTTGTGGTCAATGTTACTCCTGTTAATAATGATCCAAAACATGAATTAATTACAATGTTGCATCGATTGATTTCTGAACATCAAGTGGAAAAGTTGGAAAAAATACTGAGAGAGGAAAAGAAGAAAGTTTCTAATGAAGATTCGAATCAATCAACAAATGGAACGGGAAACAATCATGAAAAAACATCTCCAGAACACTCTAGGACCAATAGTGGTAGTAGCACTAATAGTGTCAATAGTACCAATCAGACAACCAATGAATTACAGAATGGAGCAGTCAGCTCGACCAACATAGAACCAAAGAAGCAGTCACAACAACAGGAAACCACAATTAGTGGAAAGTTTGACATTGACTCTGAATTTATTTCAGAGCAAACAGGAAGAACTCTCCTAATGACAGCCGTAGCTCATGAAAATATCAAAATTATTCGTCTTCTCTGTGAGGAGTTTGGGGCCGATTTGGAATTTAGAGACAAGAGAGGTAGAACTGCAGTGTTTTATGCTTGTAATGTGAGTCCACATAGAACTGCAGCCATTCTTCAATATTTAATTGGAGAGGGTGCAAACGTTAATTTGCAGGACAATGAAGACAATTCTCCATTCTACCTTTGCATGGAATCACAAAATTTCCAAGCTGCTACTGTTTTATTTGCTGATGGTAAGGCCAATGTCAATACTCAAGTCGGCCCAGAGAAGAATACACCAATCCACATTGCCATCAAGAAGGATTTAATTACAAGTGTGCACTTCCTTGTAAAGAGATGTATGTGTGATTTGACAATTCCAAACTCGAGAGGAGAAACTCCAATATTTCTTGCTTTACAACACCCAGCCATTCTGAATCAAATATTGATGGACCTGACCGATAAGAAGGTGAATACAGAAATTTTCGATGCCAACAATTACAAACTCAAGGCAATAGAAATTGAAGATGAAAATAAGAATAACTGTCTCCATATTTGTGCAGAATTTGGATATATTGATTCAGTGGGTGAGATTTTGAGTGTCCTCCCAGAGGAAATTGTAAGAAGACTCAGCTCTTCACAAAATAGAGAAGGAAATACTCCTCTCCATGTAGCAGTAGCACACAATCATCCAGAGCTAACATTTGTACTTTTGTTTGTCAATCCAGATTGTGCCTTCTTCCAGAATTCAGACTGGGATACACCACTCCATGTTGCATTGAAACAAGGCAATTTCAAATCAGCCAGAATATTATTCCCTCTTTCTAAATATTTAGATTTACAAAATGCTGAAGGTCAATCAATTCAATACTTGGTACAACTCTTTGGTCAGGAATTGAAACAAGAGGATGACACTCTGAAAAATTTAACGGAAGGCGAATTCTACAAACCAGGATCCTATCATTTTGAAACTTTACTTCAAGATTTCTCGTTCATTAGTAGAATGAAAGATTATCTGGCAACCACCAATCAACAGGACACAATAACATTCTTTGAAACTGTAATGGAATATCAACTCGTACCAACAACTTCTCAACGATATGAAATGGCAGAAAAGATTGTTCAACAATACTTTTCAGATAATTCTAAAGTCAAATTCCTCAAACCAAAGAAGGAAGAATTCATTACCAAGTGGAAAGAATACTCAAAGATATTTTGCCCTGCCTATCTCTTTGAGACTAGTTTGGATCTTGCTTTGGATGAGATGAGACAAACTCTCTTCCCAAAGTTTGTTGCTTCCAAAGTTTTCAAGAAATGGGTCGAGAACAAATCCAAGTCAGATCCTACTTTCTATCTGAGATTCCTAAAACGTGAGTCAACTCCACAGGAACAAGAAAAATCCGACTCAAATCCACTCAATCTCTTTGAGGAAACTCTACAGGAAGAACAAGAAAATGAGCTCAGAAATAGAAAAACCTGTAGCAAGTGTGGAGATGTTCTATTGGATCCAACTGATCACCTATTTATCAATAGCGATTTTGATACGGCCATTGATCAGTCTATGGAATTTGTTGGATGGTCACAATTAGAATCTGATCAAACTCTGGGAAAGGTGTATATTAGTCCAAAGGGTGCTCACATTCACTTGGATAGCAAGAAGAAATATACTGCTGTGAAATTCACTGGACACTTGGAATATTCCAATCATTCTGTTTTCAACATGTGGATAGATCCTGAATATTTGTGCATGAGAGATCCAACCATTTTAACATCCAAGCAAATTGACACTGCCTCAAGTAGACATTTCTACAGTGTCATTTACCAGTAAGTTTAATTATGAATATTTTCAAATTAATATTAATAATTTTAGTGATATTTATTCAATGGCTTGGCCAAACTCAAATCGTGATTTCCTCACAGCCATGTGTTGCACATACAGACCTAATACTAACACATATATTTGCCTCCAAAAATCAGTAGCTCATCCAAAATGTCCAGAAAATTCCAAACAAGTAAGAGCCAAGATCAAATCTCTGTTTATCGTAGAAAGAATCAATGACACTCGTAGTAAATACACATACCAAGTTGTCACTGATTTTGGAGGATTCCTTGGTTCTGATTTTTATGCCAACATGACAAGAGACAGAGGAAACTTTTTCCATCTCTTACTTTCTAGAACTGTTAAAGCACGTGAACTATCAGGGAAAGGTAAACCAGAAAATGGTGGATTATTGGAAAGTTTAGACTATTACATTGCTCACTCTCAAAACAATGAGTAATTTTACTGTTATTGAGGCAAATAGAATTCTTGAATATTTGTCATAGTTAATAGAGAACAACACTGCTCAAATCCAATAACCTTCCAACAATCGATTCCAACAATATGACTTTCGGAAGAGGAAAACACACTCCGTTCTTCTCCGTGTTTATTTTTGTAAAGAAGGCCAAAATTAAAAATTTGATTTTTTTAAAATATTTTTATAACCCAACAACAATAAAAATGCTCACATTCAACATTGACGACGGTTTCCTTGAAGGTGTTATTCAAGGCTGTAGAGACGGTATTCTCAGACAATCAGACTATAACAACTTGGTTCAATGCGATAGTTTGGAAGGTAAGTCTTGACGATAACCTCCCCTCTAAATAGTAAAAAAATCTTTTGATGATGGAAAATTTGATGATGAATTATTAACGTGTATTTGTTATTATAATAATAATTGATGATGATGAATATTTAAAATAGATATTAAACTCCACTTGTCGGGTACTGACTATGGTAGTTTCCTTCAAAATGAAGCCGGTCTTACTGCTACTATTATTGTTGAAAAGGCCACCGAAAAGCTTGTTAGAGAATTCAATGAATTCCGTTTCCAAGCTGTTCCTCCACTTTCTCAATTCTTGGATTATATTATTTATGATTATATGATTCTCAACGTTTTAAAGTTAGTTTCTGCTGTTAGAAACGGAAAGGGTGCTTTGGATATTTTGTACAAGTGTCATCCTTTGGGAATGTTCGAATCTCTTGGTGCTATCACTGCTGCTACATCAATTGAAGATATGTACGAATTGGTTTTGATCGATAGTCCAATTGGTAAATTCTTCTCAAAGACTGAAACACGTGACTTTGATGAATATTCTACTGACTATTTGCGTGGATTACTTCAAAAGAATTATTTGGAATCTTTCTATGACTTTTGTCAATCAATTGGTGGAACCACTGCTGAAGTTATGTGTCCACTTTTGGAATTTGAAGCAGATCGTGCTGTTTTAACAATTACTAGACAATCATATGCTGTTAGAGAAGAATCTGCTAACAAATTGCCAAAGGATGAAAGAAAGAAGTTGTATCCAAACTTTGGAGAACTCTATGATGTTCAAGACAAATTGGCTGAAGTTGATGATGACTCAGCAATGCTCGAAATTCTGAAACCATATCCATATTTCTATGAAACTTTGCAAAGTGTTACAAAACAAACTAGCTTGGAATCTCTCTTGAAGAAGAGAGCTGTTGAATTGAACAAGTCCTCATTCGAACAACAATTCCATTATGCCTCTTTCTATTCATTTGTTAAATTGAGAGAACAAGAAATTAATAACTTATTGTGGATTTGTGAATGTATCTCACAAAACATGAAGAGCCGTATTAATGACTATGTTCCAATTTATGAATAAATATTTTGATCTTATTTATTACAAGATTTCTAAGGTAAATATTACAAGTAGAGTGATTGATGTTCAACACTTGACTTGTGTGTTTTGTATTTTACCAATGAGTTTGGAGAGAGAGGAGACAGTGGAACTTGCATTGTTGAGGAATGTTCTTTAACTAATAAGGCAAACACTGGTGTTTCAAAAGCTTTCATAGTTACTTGTTCTAAACCGTGATTTTCTTCCAATGAACAAAGTAAAACACCATTCAATCCTCGATTTTCAAGCATTGAGAAAATGGTACCAGAAAGACCAGTCATCAAGTTTGGTGATTCCAAATTTGGTGGTAAAAAGAGTGATGTTAATTTTCTGTCAGCTGTTGTTCTCAAACATCTCAAAAGTGGTGGTCTAGCATTTCTTCTATCAGCAATAGTAAATGAGCTGGCCAAAATACTATCAAGAATGACAAATCTCTTTGCTTTAACCTTTTCAATCAAAAGTTGAGAATACAAATAGGTTGTATAGGCCTTTTGATGATTTTCTGATACAGTACAATATTGGGCATTATGTTTTTGTTCAATTACACTTCCACTATCAATGATCAAAACCTTCATTCCATGATCAGAGTACAAATACAATTTATCTACAATTTCATCCTTTGATCGTTTCACTTTCTTTGATGTATGAGCATCTTCTTGACTTCTGATAGAAGCAACATGAACAAGCTTTAATTCATCAACTCTTTCCACTAAAGCTCCTTTCACAAATTGACTTCCGGCTCCAAAAACACCAATCAAACAAACATCAAATTCATTCTTTGAAAAATCATCATGATCCAAAACTCCAACTCCTTGTTCCGTAATTTCAAAAAGAGGACTTGATGGTAATTCAAGATTTTCCTCTTCATCAGCTTCATAATCTTCAGCACGTGATGAGAGAGACAATTCCGGTGAAAGTAATCTAAATTCCATTTTTTGTTTTAATGGTGATGAAATAAAGGTGACGCTTGCTTGTATTTTTTTAATTCTTTTTGAAAAATCTAAAAAAAACTTTTTTCCTCAAACCAATTTAATAGATCTTGGTTGATGGACCTTTCTGAGCTTTCAGATTTAAAATTGTGTTTGAACTGTTGAAAATGTTGAATGAGTATAGTGTGAAAATCAAATAAATTTCATTTAATTGAAAAAAGGTTAATTCTCGATTATTATAATTATTTACAAGTACGGATTATTATTCATATAATTATTGGGTGGCAACTTTGACTGTCGATTCATACAGAGACCATGAAATAGCGTGGGCTAAACCTCTTTTCAGAATTTTTGGAATTATTCCTCTAAAGAAGAGTGTTCTCAATCCTTCTTCTTTTGGAATTGTTATTAATGCATCCATAAATCCATTATATCCTCCTTGGTTTGGTAATTGCATTCTAGTACGAACTAAATCGAATGGATGTGTAATTAAGGTAGCAGTTGCTCCAGCAATGACTGAACTAACAGCTGCAATACTAATTAATTGATTAGAATCAGTAGATCCCAATTTGAACCATGTTAAAAAATCATTGGTTTGTCTATAGAATACATAGAAAAGTCCACTATAAGGTATATCTCTAATCAGTGTTGGTACTACACCAGTAAATAATCCTCTCATCCCTTGTTGTTTGTGAATTTCTGTAATTGTACTTATTAATCCTCTTGATTTTGTACTTTCCATAGCATGTATACTTTCAAATCTTGTTTTAACAACCAGTATTGGCATTGTAGCAATGGTGGCAGAACTCTTAGAAATGGCACCAATTAAGAAATCATTGACAGTTTGAGGAAAACCATTATTCTTATTCAGTGGACCATTTCTAAGGAAGTGAATTGATCCAAAATACATTGCACCTCCTGGTAAATATCTCCAAAATGTAGGAATTGTTCCTCTCCATAATCCTACTATACCCTTCATATTTTCAATATTGAAAAATGTTCGGAATAGACTTACCTCCTTATTGTAAATTGATTTGATGAAGGAAATTGATCCTTGAAGTTTTCCCTTAGCATTTATATCAGAGACCTTCAATTTTTCTCTAGCACCAATCAAGTTCGTTTTTAATACGTCCAAAGGTTGGGTAACAAGTGAAGCAGCAACTCCCGATACACCACCAGCAATAATATGACTATAACTCTTTTCCTTGTTCATTCCGATTATTGATGCAATTGTATTCGATTATTATGTTCAATTTATAAAATCACCTAGTAAACTTTAATAACCACACACTAGCAGTACTCTCTTTTTTCAAAACGATGCAAAAACGATGCAAAAACAATGCGTGGATAGCTCTCAGCTTTTCGCCTATTTTTTTGTTCTCTTAAATTTTACTAAATCTTTAGTGTCGGTGATAGAAAAGGTGAAGCGGTGTTAAGGATAGAGAGAGCTCATACTTGATGATTGGAAAGTTGGACTATTGTGTGGACTTGAAGAGTATGTCTATTGAGGAAGATAGAGATTTGTGTATTTACAATTGTTTTTAATTTGCTACTAATAGTTAGTGAATGAATTATTAGAATTCACCTTGGTAAGGACGTAATTGAGCTTTTTGTGGATTCATCAATGAGCTTACTTCCTTAAACTTTTCATAATCGGCTCCACCCATCATTTGGAAAAGAGCTGATTCACACGAGGTGATAAAAGCTCCAGATTGTCTCAATCTTTCAAAAGCAACACTTCTGTCAAATGTTCTTTGGGAAGAAGTACCATCTATCTATATAATTCATATTATTAATTCATATCAAGATTAATTCCTCATTATTAATATTGAATATCCTCTCGAAATTACTTACCAGCCAAAATGTGAACTTCCTTGTTAGCTTCCAATAAATCCAAAGCAGTTTGCAAAACACAAACATGAGCTTCAATACCAAATAATACAACTTGATCACGATTTGGATTATTCTTCATTACTTCCTTCACTTCATCAGTCAACATTGAGAATTTCTTCTTTTCAAACAAGTGATAATTTGGCTTATCGGTTGGCAATCCAACTTCAGGACAAGTTTTTCCGAAAGCCTTTGAATATTGTTCAGTACAAACAAATGGGATATCCATGATAGAACTAGCCTGATTCATTGTACTACTAACATAGAGTACGGATGGAAAATTATGAATTAAACTTCTAAATCTCTCTTGTACATCACAACAAAAGAAGATGGCTCTATTTCTTGAGAGTTTTCCGAGTGATTTGGTTGCCAAACTCATGATGATCAATTTAAATAATAATATTAAAACAAGTTGTTGTATTTTTTAATTGTTATTTAAGAAATTAAATACTAGTTTTCCTGATATCGATCGATCGCTGCATAATAATGATAATAACGATTTGTCCATTGGGGTATTAAAATGTTAGTAGTATTACATGGTTCTGATTTGGTCAAAATTTCTTGGTGCCATAATTGTTAATAAATTTTGTTAACAATTTATTCAAAGGAAATTATTCATTGTAATTATCTTGACTACATCATCTGATTTGTGGATGAAGATAATCAAGATTGAAATGTTACAATTTGCGATTGTAAAATCAATTTCCGACAAAACATGGAAAGATTTTCAGAAAAAAATGGCTTCACAAGTATCTGCTTGTTTCGATGAACTGGTGTGTTTACGTATTTTGCAATTCACACACCATTGCAATTGGTCAATTACTCAACCGTTTTTAATTTCCAAAACTTTTAACAATGTTTTCAATTCTGATGGATTTACCAGAGATTTTCTGATGAGAAATCTTGAATTGGATCAAGTTGATGATTTGCAAAAGGCCATCAATGCTTTTGTTGAGAAGGATAAACTTGTTGAAAAAGGAGCTGAGAGATCTGAACGAAAGCAAAAGAAGAAGAAGAGAAAGAAAGATTATGATGAAGATGAGGATAAAACAATCATAAGACCACCAACAAACCTACGAGATGTGTTGAAACTTTTTGTCAAATGTCAGGGAAATGGTGATGACATTATTGTCAAGGAGAAGGTTGTTAGGTTAATGGACAATTTTAGTAAGAGTAAGGATGTTTCACTATTGGAATCTGTAATAGAAAAGATTGGTTTTCTTAAAACAGGAATTTCAATTCAAGAGTCGTACAAATCGTTACTAGATGAGAATGACACTATTTATTTCAACGTTGGCTCGGAAAGTCATGAGATACCAGCAGTATTAGTACCTAAATTATATAAGAAATTGAAAGGTGTGTATGTTTTGGAAACGAGAGAGGATACCGAATCTGAAGAAAAGACATTCACAAATTCAGTTGTTGTTTTCCTCAACTGTGGATATCCCCTCCTTATTGAAACAAATTTTGAGGATAAGTTGGATTCTTATAGAAGCAATAATACTTATATTGAGAGTGCTTCAGTTTATGGAAAGGAAGCGTTCAAACATTCAAAGAGGTCCAATCAACATGGATATTTTGATACTGAGTTCACATGTGAAATATCTAGAACCCTTCTTGACTTGGTTCAAAGCTTTGTTTTCTCTTCTGACATTTCAGGAATATTGAAACAAGAATTTCCCAGTCATCCTCCACAAGCCATTAAGGAAGGTTTGATTTACCAATTCTTCCAAATTGCCTTTGGAAAAAATGCAAACGAATTTATGTCAAATGCTGATGAATGGATTCCTTTCCGTCATGTTGATGATGACTATGATGATGAAGATGGGTCTGAGGATGATACGTTTATTGATGATGAGGAAGTTAATGAGGAGGAAGAGGAAGAGGCAAAGCAAGCTCTCAAATCGATGGGGTACAAACGTAAGAGAAGTGACAATGAAGAAGAAGAGGAAGAAGAAGAGGAAGCTGACGAATAGTGAGTATTTAGTGGTTGATCATATAATTATAAACATTTTCTTTCACCAGACTTTAGTTTCAATAGCAACCAAAACATTTAGATTTCAATTTGATGACATCTGCTTCTTTTAATATATTGAGCACTCCAATATAGAATTTAAAATTAGGCTTTGTATCTGTTTAATTTCATACAATCATTTTAGAATCCACCTTGACGACGAATGAACACAACACTGTGTAGATCTTTTCATAGATTGTTTTCTTAATTTGTAATTCTTAACCTCTATGTCCAGGGCTTCTACTGTCTGTAAAAACATGATACACTTTCATGATAATTAGTATGATTATTGAAGCTAATTCTAGAGTAATTTTGTTGACTCCCTTAGTACGTTTTTGACAAAAAAATGGATTGTGATTCTACACCACGGGCACCTTATAAGCTTTTATTCTCGGTAAAAGCACCAGGAAGTAATGGCCAAAACTACTTTATATTTCATAATTCGAAAGTGTACACTCGTACTCCAAGCAAGGTGTGGGAGCTTCAAATCTTAATGAGAAGTCATTATCAACACTGTAACGCATTTGAGTCTTATAATTGTTCATTCTCTAGCGGATTAAAAGTGGTTCCTAAAGAATGTGAATACACACTATCGGAAGATAGATCAATCATCGACAATATTACAAAATCGATACGATTATACTTTTGCATGCTTAATGCGAGTAGTGGGGAAAGATTAGAAAAGAGATACATTAGACATTCATCTGTTTTTGACAATATATTTTCTAATTTCCGACAAATAGATTCTATCTATTCAATTACAAGATTCAATGTTGAATCAAATTCATATGGCTGTGTTGTAAATGTACAAATATCAACAAATAGAATAGATGAGTGGAATGAATTTTTTTTCCAAAATAAGAAGAATGTTATTGAACTTGGATTTGAGTTTGGTGATGAGTCAACTGAGCTCTTTAGAATAGTTCATTTTTTTTCGTATTTTAGTGAAAATAATGTGTATCAATTATTTTCCTTTAAAAACAGGTATTCATATTTTACAACACTCAATCATTTATTGGAGTTAATTGATTCTTATTGTAAAAAGTTCTACAACTCGAATGGAATATCTAGAATCGAACACGAAAATCAAATTGAAAAAGTGACTTTTTCAAAACCTTATTTTCATATTATACTATTACAAATGATCTCTGAATTCTTCACCTCTTGCAGTGGTTTGAGGATTTGTTTGACCCATTATAAATCTATTGAAGAGGCAGTACAAAGGATTAATACTTTATCCCCTCTCATTAAAGAATGTAAAGTATTGAAACAATTCATAACCAGTAATGATATGCATGTTGAGGGACTGCTTTTAAAGATCAGAGAGTTATTTAATTCCAGCAGTGGTGTAAGGAGTCAAATCGAGGATTTGGGGTGCAAGACTTTCAAAGTGTTCACTGAATGGTTTCATGAAGGAAGGAGCGAACAACTATTTGAATGCAAAAGAAACCTCATTCCCATTTTCCCTCCAGATTTTACTGATGAAAATAGTGTTATGGGAATTTATCATTTCTTGATAATAATGAGCAATAAGAAATGTGCAAAAGTTTCACAGAATTCCTTGGAACAAAATCATAAGGACTTATATGAATCCATGTTGAAGGTAATACTCTCACCAAAACCTTCAAATGAGGATGAGATTGATATATTATATGAGAAATTAATCTATTCCGCCAGGGAACATCAACATAGTAATTACTTTCAAGATACAACATTAGTAGAGGAATTGAAATTGCATATGATAGAATATCCTTGGAAACCAATTTCAGTACCTGAAAACCTAACCCAAATTGATGCATTGACTTGTCAGAGATATGTGGGATTTTTATTTAAGTTTAAGAAATACTTTCGAAACTGCACTTTCACCAAATCAGATTTTGTAGTGTTTGATTTCTTACTGAAATCATTTGATGCTATTGTTCTTCTCCTTTTTCACTTATTACACACACATGAAAAGAATCAGAAGAACATAAACTTGGTTTGCTTTGCCGAAAATATGGTTATCTATATGGAGGAATTATATGAAAGGTACATTACAGCCAACCAGAGGCTTGATATTGATATTGAAAACGATGAATCAACTATTACAGAGTCACATCTTGATAGAATGCTCCAAGATTTTCTGATTGGGGAATTACTTGATGATGATATTAATTCATTTCTCAATAGTTTATGTCATGAATGCATTAGATTCAACACCAGAAGTCATTTCTCAACCCTATCAAATATATCTATACTATTAGAATTAGTAAGAGCCAAGCATAAATGATGTGCTGTATTTTTCTTCTTTAAATATTTTCTTAATTGCTGGGAATAAGGCTTAAAGACCTGAGTCCATTACCTACAATTGTTTAATCAAAATTGGATCTCAAATTAGGTTGGATTTTCATCTATTGAATTCTTCATTAAAAAAAATGGCCAAACGAAAAACAACTCGGTTCTCATCTCTTCCAATTGAACTTCTCTTGTGTATTCTCTCATTTATCATTGATCCGAATAATTTACACATCAATTATTCGCAAAATCTTCGATTTCTGATGACATTCACAAGCATTAACAAGTCATTATCTTGTGAAATGCAAGAATATTTCAACAATATTTGGTGGAAATTATTCGAAAGTCAAGTTAGAATTAAAGAGAAAAACAGAGAAGAATTTGATCAAGTTAAAAATCAAATGGTGGAAATAGGAAATCTCCGAAGAAAGATTATTCTAACACTTTATACGAAACAATTTTTAAGTACAGTTCCCATCACTAGAAATGAAAATGAATATCATGATGAAGAAATTAAGATTCTTCTCCTTGGAGATGGAGGAGTTGGTGAGTTTATTATTGAATTAAACCTATTCGAAATAATTAGGTAAAAGTTCGCTAATTATTCAATTCATTCAGGGAAATTTCCTTGAACACAACACCCCAACAATTGATGATAATTACAGAAAATATGTGGAAATTGGTGGAGATCAATATTTATTTAATATTTTCGATTTCTGTAAGTAAAACAATTATTTACAAAATTTTGGAGTTCTCGTAGATGGACATGAGGAGTATGAAAGTAATTTATTTAAAGAGCAATGCCTTTGTAATTCCAATTGTATTGTAGTTGTTTGCTCTCTGACAGATCCTAGTTCAATAGATGATTGCTCTTTAGGATATCATATGGAATTCATGGCTCGAGTTAGAGGAATCGAACAATTAAAAAGTATTCCAATAATTTTTGCATTGAATAAGGTTGATGATTTCACAGAAGAAGAGAAGGAAGAAAAGAGGGAAATTACTGAGAAAGCTAAACAAGTTGTGAATGACAAGATTAGTCAATATGAATTGTTAAATACCTCTGTGACAAGTGCCAAGTTTAACATAAATGTGGAAGAAATATTCTTAGATTGTGTGAGATTACTAAGCGGAACCGATTTGGGTTTAAAACTGTTAAAGAATATTATTGAACTTGATGTGGAATATTTGGAATCTCTTAAACAGAAATTGATTAAGCCAAAGCAAAATTCCAAAAAGTGCTTATTTATGTAAAAATTCCATGTTAAACGGATTAATATTATTACAATATTATTTCCATCTCTATCCTGGAAAAGTACTTGAACAATTAATAACAAACTTAGATACCAGAAAATATTACAAAAAAAATGAAACAATTTTCCTCCACACTCCTCATTCTTTTTTTCTCACAATATTGTGAAGCATTTGTCTTGTATAATTGTGCTAGAGTGTGCTCTCGGTGGAGGAAAATCATTCACAATCGAGTGGATATCTCACTCGGAAAGGAAGATTTAAAAATTGTTAATTATTCAAATCATGATGAGATTTTATTGAATGATTTTACATATATTATTGAAAATTATTGGAGTGAAGACATAATAGGTGATGATTTTCAATTACTTGATGAGGAAAATGAGGATAATAAGAATGATGAATTGACCAATTCTGTCTGTGATTGTAACAAATTAATTTCATCTCATTCGAATATTGTTGTTAGAAAGATTTCATGCTCAACAATGGATTGCTCATGTTTTGCTAGAAATTATCACAATGGCAAACACTTTTTAAAACCTGAAAATGGATTATTAGATTTGGATTATTCATTTCCAATTATTGAATGCTCAGATGATTGCAGTTGTGATTCCACTAGATGTAGGAATAGAATTACTCCCATTCACTATTTGGGAACTATTGACAAACCATTATATTTATTTTCAATTGGAGAATGTGTTGGATTTGGAGTGAAATGCAAAAATTTCATACAAAAGGGAGAGTTCATTAGTGAATATATTGGAAAAGTTCTTTCAGACAAAGAATCGAATGAGATTTTAAATTCGAGCATACAGGACAAACATCATTACCTGTTGATTATCAAGGAATATTTTCACATTTCACAGGCATTAGAATCCAAACAAAAATACGAAACTAGACGATTAAATATTGATGCAGAAAAGTTTGGAAATGTGAGTAGATTTTTCAATCACAGTTGTGATCCAAATCTCACATGGAGAGTCCTAAGAACATGCTCAGAAGATCATCCACGATTATTCTTCTTTGCTGCCAAAGATATTCCAGAAAATACTGAACTGACATTTGACTATGGTGAGGGCAATACTTTACAAAACAATGAATCAGCAAATTTACAATTTTCTCAACGCAAGTGCCAATGTAAATCTCAAAATTGTAAAGGTTTCCTCCCTCTCGTGTCCATCAAATAGAAAAAAAGTTTACAATTCAAAGCGATTTTCAAAAAAAAATGGAAGAACGTGATCCTCTCGGAATTAAAGGCAAGAAATCGGAAAGAATCTACACTCACTGCTATTGTGAGGAGAATATCTATAAATTATGTGAATATATTCGGGATGAGAAATCCAATGATGAATTAGATTCATGTTTTGTCATGTTTCTTTCATCGGATGAGAAATTACTGCCAATGTGGTATCAAAATGATACTGGTGGTTTGATTATTTGGGGTTAGTTTTCATATTATCGAATTTTATTTAATATCTATTTAATTATTCTATTAATAATTATTTAATATTTAAAAATTATTTACAAAATATTTAATATTTAAAATACTGCTCAATAGATTATCATGTCATTTTGGTACACAAAAATTCTGCAACTCAACAATCAACAGTCTATGACATGGACACTCGCTTGGATTTTCCATCTACATTTGAAAGTTATATTGTAAATTCCTTTTTATTGACCTTCATGATAAGGAATCCAAGTAAGAGACTCTGCGAATTGATGAATTGCTTAAAGGTAAGTTGTTTGTGATTTCTTTCATTATTTGCTTAATGATAACAGTTTAGAATTGTTCCAGCATGTGAATTTTTGAAATCCTTCAGCTCTGATCGATCTCACATGATCAATGAAGAGGGTGAATACTCTGCAAAGCCACCAATTTATCCTCCAATTCGAGCAGATCCAAACACAGTGATGAATTTGGATGATTACAGATTCATGGACCGTATAGACAAGGGTCAAATTCTTGATTTGGAACAAATGTGCGCATTCTTTGGATCCAATTTGGACATGCTTAAGGACAAGTTTGATACCTATTTTAAAGAGTAGTTTGTTAAACACAATCATTGTTTTCATGCTGTTGTGTAAATAAAGTCCTTCAATGAGATCATCATTTGGTATTAGACCACCACTTGTTTCTATAAAACTTGTAAACATCATAATCCACATGTCTCTAATTAGAAGTATCATCAAACTCTTCTGGATCACTAATGGTTTCATCTTGTTGACATGTATTTGGATCATTGAGGATGAATTCAAGAGACATTGGATACATTTGATTAAAGATTGGCAAATGCCTCACCTCTTTAAAGTATTGAGGCCATCTATCGAGTCCAATTTCATCTTTCAATTGGTAGAATCTTCTCTTGAGAGTCGACAATGAACAATTCAATACTTTGCATGCTTGATTTTGAGAGAGGTGCAATACTTTAATCATTTCTTTTCGAGTGATGAGTTTGTTTCTTCTCTCATGTTTTCTTCTCTCAACAATCTTGGTGTGAAATGAAGAGTCGTGAGAGGATTTTCTCCACACTGTAATGCTATAGCTAGATAAATTATCCTGTTGTTGTTGATGGTGCTGAGGTTGTGTTGATACAAGGAGTGAGGAAGGAAGTGAATCAATCTGCAAATTTCCATCTATCTTTAAATTACTGGATGTTGTGAGGGTAGTTAGCATATTGAGGAGATGAAGGTATCAGAATGGAAAATATTGAGGTATTTGTTTTGAAATGATTGTTGCTCCTGCTGATGCATAAAAAACAAAAGAAGCAGCTCGAATTTTTATGCTGCTTGCTTTCAAGGACTTGAGCAAACTTGGACAGCCTTTTGCGGTTGTGCCCCAGCAACTTTACACTAATAGCTTAACATTTATGTTACTTCTGTTCCTTAGTGTAAAAATTCAGCCGCTACAGAATCTAGATTCTCTCCGTGAGTAGTTTAAAAAAGGACTTTTGGGGGTTAAGGAAAAAGGAAAAATGAAAGATGATAATAATAATGACAATTTTTTCTACATTAATGTGAGTCCTTTTTCGCTCAAAGTCCATTATTTCAATAAGGAAGAAAAGCTGATTACCTAATAGGAATGAATGGCACAATAGATTTTGCCCTACCTATGAACTTTAAAACAAATATTATTTTAGAAAGCAATAGATAAAGCACATGTTGGAAAATCCAAAGAGATTTAGCTCATAGATATGTATTGTTGATTCACTCCGCGCATTTTGTCAGCATACGAAAAAGCATCATCACCAAATTTAATAATTTTCCTATTTCCCAAAAGTATGTTTGTATATTAAGCCATGGCAACTCATAACTAAGCACCTCCTTTTTAGGAGTGGTATGATAGATAATACAACCAAATGTTGAACCTTCCAAATAACATTGTCAGATTTGGCTCATTGTTGGTTTCTGCAACTTCAACAAAAATGCAAACTGTCAAACAATGTATCATTATTGGCAACATTCCGTAATTGGTGATCCAATTGTGCATATTAAATACCAAAGTTCAAATCGAATCTGTTTTTGATTTCTCGCATGAACATCCTTTAAAAGATGAAGCACAAAGATTAATCCTCAGGAGAAGTTAATGGTTTTGGAAAGGTTGAGCTTAATTGTGCAGCGTGCTCAAATATTAGGTTGCAGTCCTGTGGCAAATCAGAGCAGTCATGCTCATTCATAATGAATTGCAGAGACATTGGGTAAAGTTTGGGAAATATCGGTAAATGTCTCACATCATCATAATAGGAGGGCCATTTCTCCATTCCCAATTCCTGTTTAACCTCTCCAAATCTTCTTTTTAATGTGGACAAACTACATCCCAATACTCGGCATGCCTGTACTTGTGACAAGTGTAAAACCTTGATGAGATTGTCCTTGGCAAGAGTATTCCTCTTCTTTGCCACATGAGTTATGTACTTGGGAGATGCCTCCATCACAAAATGAATATTATTGCTGTTATTATTGATGGATGTGGATAACATGTTGCTAGCAGGAGATGATGTTGAATTTCTTCCATGCATGCAATGTTCAATTCCTACACTACTCGAATCACTATGTTTAGATGTTTCATCCAATGTATTGTTGTTGAACACATGCAATGACGGTCCTTTAGAATTGCTTGTTGGATGTTGTTGCAACATGTGTAAAGATGAAGAAGCATCCAATGAGCTGGTTGAATCGTCATTATTTCCATTCATATAATTAACCTCGGAAGATCCAATCCCATGTAAAATACTTCTGGATAAGCTAGATGAGGAACATGTAGTTGTCGAGTGTACATGAGAATGTGATGCTTGCTCATGTTGTGAATGACCTTCTTGACTACATGTTTGATTGCTTGTTGATGATTTGTTACTACCCTGCTGCCTTTTGTTACTCTTTGTGGGATAGTACTTTTTTCGTTGGACTGGTTTCTTTTTCACATTCGAGACTTGAATAAATTTCAAAGGTTGGGGCTGTGCTGGTTGCTGCTGTTGTTGTGAGTCTTTCATGTCGATGAAGTGGTTGAATGTTTAGGATTAAATTCGTTTTCTTTTTCTTTCAAATCAATTAAAAAGCAATACTTGAATTCACTACTTTTCATGTATATGACGACTCTACTTGTTTCTAACAGTACGACCTATTCTATTTCTGAATCAGTTCTCTTTTACTTCTTCCTCGTGCTTGGTTATAATTGTTAAAGCACAGAGAGTGACGATATTTTGTTGTGTCGTGGAATTTAGTGAATCTTGGATGATAAAATTAAGAAAAATTGATCCATGCAGATGATTTGAAAACAAAGCACATGCAATGCTTTAACAGAGTCTCAATAGCCTTGTTTGCAAGTGTTGTATGTCAATATTGAAATGATGGAACCTTAAAACGATTCTCTGCCTTGTTTGGTGATGTTGATGGACTTATTAGGATGCTAGAATAAGTAAGGGTGCTAATGTTGGGTATGACAGCTAGTTCTTTTGTGTGATTGTTGCAGGTCAATAGGTTTAATGATGCACGTATTTGGCAAGCTTAAGAAATTAGGAAACGCACTGAACCTTCAATACCAATTTGTTGATGAAGCGTTTTTGTTGTTTGTTATTGAGAGTTTGTTTCTTGTTGTGGATCACCAGTGTGGTGATAATGATGACGCACCACTAAAGTGATCTTATTCGGGAGAGAGCAAGTTAACCAGTTATTGTTGTAGGTGTTAGGGTTAATAACAATGTTATCAAGAGAAACGAACTGCACTGCAAAATGATATGTTGTTGTTTTTTTCAGTTTTTTTTCTAAGGCTTGTTTTCAGTGTTGGTCTTTGACCATTATCAACTTGTCCTGAACAGATATTACCTTCATCATCAATGCATCGGAAGCAACTGTCTTCCAATTATCATTGAGAGAAATATGTTATACATCAACAATCTCCTCAGGTCCTCTCCACCAATAAAGTAGTTATTGAAGTGTTTTCTTGGCAGAGACAGTTCTTTGCATGAAAAAGATGAAATCCCTATTTGATTTTTGAAAAGTTGGGAACCAAACTATGGTAGTTATCTCTTCTTATTTTATTTTGTTTGAAGATTATTATTGCTCATTTGGTTGGGATAACACAAAATTTCAGTAAGAATTTGCTCAATTCTAGTCACTGTTTGTCTCCTTGGTCTTTATTAGGTGTTGATCTCTTTCCTTATGGAAATAGTGATAACCGGTACTAATATCGACCTCAATCGTTGAGAACCCTACTTGCAAAAGAATCATTTCAACATCTTATTTGTTTCTTGAAAATATTAGCAGTCAATTAGAAGTTATTCCGATAAGTTGTTTGAAAGTTTGCAAAAGTGCAATTACTTCACAAGCTCAAAGAACAAAACAAGAAAGATAAATTCCTAACAAGGTCTGTTTTCAATAGCATTGTATTACATTTAGTTCAGTTAGGGAAAAATTAATAATTTAACACATTGGCCAATAATTTAGCACTTGTAGAGCTTGGTCAATCTCTTAACCAACTTTCTCCATTGCTTCTTAGAGGTCTTCTTTGATTTCTTGGTCTTTCTGGCAGCCTTCTTGGACTTCTTAGCAGTCTTCTTGGTTTGCTTCTTGGCAGTCTTTTTAGTGACCTTCTTGGCAGCAATCTTCTTGGCTTGTTTGACCTTGTTAGCAGCAGCTCTGATAGCCTTCTTGATAGCTTCGGCAACAGCAACCTTCTTTTGTTCAACAGTGAGCTTCTTGGCAACAACTTTCTTGGCAACCTTCTTTGATTTCTTGGCAGTCTTCTTTGACTTCTTTGATTTCTTAGAGGCCTTCTTGACAGCCTTCTTGGCCTTCTTAACCTTCTTGGTGAGTTTAGCCAAAGCAGCTTTACAGGCATTTCTCTTCTTCAAAGTCTTGGCCTTCTTGGCACATCTTCTCAATCTTCTGAGCTTTCTGATTCTTCTCAAGAGCTTTCTACAAGCCTTTCTCTTCTTTAAAGATTTAGCCTTCTTGGCACATCTTCTCAACTTTCTGAGCTTTCTAACTCTCTTCAATGCCTTTCTACAGGCCTTTCTCTTCTTCAAGGATTTAGCCTTCTTGGCACATCTTCTCAATTTTCTCAATTTTCTGGCCTTTGATTTCTTTGCCTTCTTGGATTTCTTGGATCTCTTAGTCTTTCTGGCAGCTTTTTTGGCCTTCTTGACAGCCTTCTTAGCTTTCTTGACAGACTTTCCACACTTCTTCAATCTGAGTCTCAACTTTTGAACACGGGATCTGAGTCTCTTTACAGACTTTTTGGATTTCTTCAAAGCTTTTCTCAATTTTCCGGAAGCCTTTCTAAATCTCTTGACAACTCTAGCACAAGTCTTCTTTGATGATTTCTTTGATTTTTTAGCCTTCTTTGCCTTCTTAGCGGCCTTCTTGGCTTTCTTTACCTTCTTCTTTTGAGCCTTCTTTGATTTCTTGGCAGTTTTCTTCTTTTTAGCAACAACTTTTGGTTTGACAGCTGTTGTTGTTGGTTTGACAGCTGGAGCTGCTGTTGTTTTGATGACAGCTTGTGTTTCAGCTTGTTGAGCAGAGGCGAAGGAAGCGCATGCCAACAAAACTACAAACAACAAGGAGAGGACGAGCCACTTGCCTGTATTCATTGTGTTGTTAATATTTTTTATTGTGATGAGAAATTTGATAGTGAAATGTCATGGATTACCTTTTAATATTTTTATGGAGTGACTCGGGTCTTGAAATGACAGGATGACATGATTCACTTCTGTGCATCAAAGGGTAAATAAAATGTGTGTTGAATACAAAACAATTTATTGAGCAGACCTTAGTTATTGGATTTGTTTTTTTCAAACATTTATAATGCTTGTGCTTGTTTGTTTAATGATGTTGTGGTTTGTTGTTGGTTTGAAAATTTCCCGCCAAAAACTACAAAAAAATGAGTTCAATTGGATCTGCTCGTTCAAATCGATCGTCGTCTTCTCACTCTGCTCATTCAGTTCGTTCCTATGTCAGTGAGACATCGACAGCATCATCTATAAGGGAGGAGGATTTGAGTTTACTTTTAACCTTATTGGAAAATCCAAAACAAAGAGAGTTGGGTTGTTCATTTTCGGAGTCTAGTGATTTTAGAGCTGAATTTTCGAGAAAGATGGTTATGATTGATCCTAATGCAAAACCACCAAAATCAAGAGGAAAATGGCAGGAAGAGACCTATCCATTACCGTGGACAGAGAAAAGAATTCAGGAGAGAAGGTTGTATGATCCCGATTATAAAGTGTATTTTCCACTTCGTCCATTTGGATATTCATTGAAAGTGGAAGACACTGTGATTCCTCCTTATAAAATTACTAAAATTGAGACAAGATTTAAACATTGCTTAATCCTAACAAGTAAGTATCTCTCCAAATATTTATTTAATAATTATACTATGTATTTTGTTTGTATTGAATGAAATAACAACAGGGGATGGATTTGTATATAGTATTGGAGATGCAGAGTTCGGAAAACTTGGTGATGGATATGAAGATTCAACAGGAACAAAGGCACCATTTGTGAGGAAACCAGTTCTAATCATGGATAGAGCAATTGATATTGCTGTTGGCAAACATCACTCTGCTATAGTTACAGACGAGGGAAATGTACATACTTTTGGATATGGAAAATATGGGCAACTTGGTCATTCAAATTTCGAAAATGAAAATGTGCCACGAGTTGTTGAGGATTTCATTAATAGAGATATTAGAATTACTAAGGTTGCTTGTGGTGATCATCATACTATTTGCCTTACGGATACTGGATTAGTGTATGGATTCGGAAATGGTTCTCAAGGTCAACTAGGAGTTCTTGGATTTTTGGATATCAAAGGGGATTTATCACAAACAGAAAAGGCTCAACTTAAGTATGTTCCCAGACCAAGATTGGTAGAAATTATGAGAGAAACACAACAAGAAACCGAGGAATACAGAAGATTGAGAACAAAGAAAACATTTGTTGAGATTGATGGAATAATGTGTGGAAGTGATTATTCTGCATTCCTGGCAAAGCATGGTCAATTATGGCTATGTGGTTGTGGAATGACTGGTGTAATTGCTAATGGTACATTCGTCGCGAACAATTATCGTCCAACAGAGGCTCAATTTTCTGTATCTGAAAAAGTGGTGGAAAAGTTTGTTAAAGTGGATATTAATTTGGAACCTGGGAAGAATGGAGAAGAATTGGATGTAAAAGTTGATTTCTCATTTCAAGGAAAGTTGGTGCAGCCATTAATACCTAAATTCCTTCCTTATAATCATGAAAAACCTTCCTCAGCAGCTTCCTCTAAATCCTCAGCTAGTAGAGCTTCTTCCTCTATCCACTGGTTGAAATATGTTCACCCTAATCAATTCAATGTAGATGGCCAAAATATCAAGTTAGTAGATGTTTCTTGTGGATCAAGTCATTTATTTTGCATGACAGTTGACCAAAGAGTGTTTGCAGCTGGATTGAATTTTAATGGTCAATTGGGTATTGGAAATAAGACTTCTCAGTGCCGTCTATTCGAAGTTACAAATCTATTGCCTCATGCACTCGTATCAGAAGGTATCAAACAAATAATATGTGGAACAAACTATACAATAATTGTTAATGGTATGGGAACAACATTTGCGACTGGTAGATTCCCTGGAAATAATGAAGATTGTACAAAATTTGTAGAAATTACCAGCATTAGTCAAAGACAGTACAGAATTGAAAAAATGTTCTCTAGGAATCCAGAGCACATCTTTATGTTGTGCAGGAAGGAATAACTTCACCACTCTTCATTTCCATAAATAAAGAATCGAATAAGTAGCTCTAAGGATTGCCGCCCACTTACAATTATACAAAAAAAAACAAAATGAAGAACAAGCCCTCTCCTCCCTTCACCTTCTTTACTGGAATTGTTCCATCGTGCTCATTCATCAACAAGTCGTTTGTATTTCTGGGAACTGGTGAATGTGGCAAATCATCATTTGCACGACAATTAATTTCCAATCAAGTTGTTGTTGATAAGAATTTGAAAATTCATTCCGAACATATTCAATATAGTGTTCTTCAAAATTTGGTGAATATTACAACAAATGCGCAGGTTAGAAGGAATATTACAGGTGATGATGAAAATATTGTCAAGCAATTAGCTCACCTAGTGGAAAATTATGTTGACAGTCATTTTGAAAGGAGACATTTGGAGGTGTTGTTGAAGAATTGCAAGAATTTTATCAAATTATTGAAAAATCCAGCAGTTTGTGATGTGATTGACAATCCAGAACTGTATCCTCTCCTTCATCTCGCAGGAAATCATCAATATTTCTTTAAGAATAGTGAGAGAATTCTACTTTCGAATAATTATGAGCCAACAATTGAGGATCTGGCAAGATTACAGAAAAAGACAGTCGGAATTGTAAATTGTGGATCAACTGAATTTAAAAATTTCAAATTGACCATGTATGTTATTAACTAATTGGGTAATTCAATATTTTACGAATTTAGAACAGATACAGGAGGACAAAGAAATGAGAGAAAGAAATGGAAACATGTAATTAGTGCAAATCCTCTTCCAGATGCTATCTTTTTCATGGTTTCATTAAGTGAATGCTTTCAATATTGTTATGAAGATCAGAATGAAAATAGGTAAGTTTATTACCTCTATTCGAATATGTATATCGGAAAATGAATTTCAACAGAGCTAATGAGAGTTTGAAATGTTTCAAGGACGTTATCTCATCAACCACTGTTCCAATCTTTCTAATCTTTACAAAACTTGACATTTTGGAAGAAATCATTCACAGACAAAAAGTTGTCTTTTCCTCTCTCTTTCCAGAATTTGTGAAAAGCTCAGAACAAGTCAATCAAGTGAAGGATTTTCTCATGAGTAGATTTATTAAAGCCGATTCACATAAACAAGTGAAGGGAGTTTACATTGTTAATACTTTGAATAGACAAGAGGTGGAAAAAACTGCTGAAGAAATTTTGAATTCTCTTTAATTTTTTTGTAAAGTGTTTTGTTTTTCAAATAACTTAGAAAATTAGTGAAATTATGAATAAAAGTACAATAAATGATAGTGAGGTATATACAATTTGAGAACCTGTTCCAGTATTACCAGTTCCAATATCTCCTGGATTGACAGTATCCGAATCTTGATTAACAGAAACTCCTGGGACGTATGTTTGAATGAATGATAGATAGAAAGTGGTATTCGAATAGAGTCCTCTACTAACAGTTGCTCCACAAGTTTCATAACCAGTCGAAACCTATTTTACAATATTTTACAATATTTCAATAATTTTTTGTAAAGTATTTCAATACTTACAACACCAAATTGAGTATATTTTGAAGAGGAAGATATTTTTCTAAATAAAGGACCACCACTGTCTCCACTGCAAGCATCCCTTCCTATGAAAATTATTGAAATTCACTTTCTAAAATTGTAAAAACTTACCATTTCCAGCTCCTGCACAAATTTGTTCAATATCAACTCCACCCAAATTCAAATTATTACAATATGACATTTTAACAATTGGAACAGATGCCTTTTGTAACTTTTTAGGATAATCCAAGTTAGAATTCAAAGCTCCCCAACCAGAAATTAAAACTAATCTAGAAGAATCACTTTCCTCATCATGAATTGCAATTGAATTTGCATCAATAGAAACTGTACTAACAGTTGAATCATCAATTGGCAATGCACTTTCAAGTTCAAATACAGCAATGTCATTTCTTTCTGTTCCTTTCTGATAGGAAGGATGAGCAATTTGATTTTTGACTTTGATGTATTTACAATTATCTGAACATGTATTGTCATAAGTTCCGTAAACAACAACAAGTGTTGTAGATGAGTCTAAACAGTGAGCAGCTGTCAATACAAATGTACTCGATAGGATACTTCCTGTACAGAGATGTTCGAAAGCTCCGGACGAAAGTTGTTTTTGAATGGAAACAATGAAAGGAAATTCGTGTTCACCAGCAGTTTGACCATTTGCTACCTTGATGCCACGTTCATTATTTGGTGTAACTTGCAATTTTGCAGCCACAAGATGACAACTAAAAAATACAAGACAAATGACAGCTAAATATTTCAGCATTTTTTTTGTAAGAATGTTAAATTGACGAGAGTGGAAATAGACCTTTACTTCCCAAGTTAACAACGGGGCCAACGGTAGAACGACGAGCGTATTGAGCGATTTAATATGCAATTCCTTTTAGTTTAGTGCGTTTTAGAATAAAGTTTCTAATAAGCTAAATCTTGAATATTTGGCAATTATTTCACTACAATTCAAACTAATTTATTGAGTATCTTGATTTTCAGACATGATATCAGCTGCAATTCTTCTCGACGCATTTTCAATTCCATAAAGTTTGACATATTGAGTGGCGACAAGTCTGTCCAATTCACAACCATTTCTATCATAACAAATACCTAACATACCTTCAACTTCCTCTAAATTTGCTCCATTTCCTCTCGTTCTCAAACATGGAGCAATTTTTTCACATCCATAATAGTAAAATTGTTTCTTACACTTACTAAAAATGGAACGTCTATCCAAACCATTCCATCTTTTAAGGCAATCAACTCTACATGCCACACAAGATGTTTGTTTATCAGAAACGAATGGAATTGGAGGAAGTCTTTGAGTGTGAGGTCCCAAAAATCCGTCAAATTTCTTCTTGGCCTTGAACATGATATTGAGAGCTTCCATTGTAAATGGAATATGTAAACCTTCTCCTCCTGATTTGGTTCTATTGTTTTTAGTTTCCTTGGATTCTTGTTGTTGTTGTTGTTGAGTTGTTTTAGTTTTGGAGGTTCGTCTGGCAGTAACCGAAACTCTTCCCAAATCGGTTGGTGATTTGTTGGTAGCTTTAGCTTTGGATGCTGCAGATCTTCTTGCTCCCTTAGAAGAAGCAGATGATGATGACGAAGAAGCTTTTCCACCTCTACTCTTTCCACTGTTTCTTCCAGATCTTGAGGATGATCTTGATCCACTTCTACTTCCTCTGCTTCCTCTACCTCTTCCACCTCCTCTACTTCCTCTACTTCCTCTTCCAGAAGATGATCTTGAACCACCTTTGCTTCCTCTACTTCCTTTACCACCTCTGGATCCTCTACTTCCTCTTGAACCACGTCCTCCTCTACCTCTACCTCCTCTCCTCTACCACCTCTACCACCACCACGACCACGTCCACCTCTTCCACCACCTCTGCCACCTTTCAAAGTGACAGCACTCAAGGTGTTCAAGTGGTCCATGTCATCTTCTTGAAGAAGAGATTCTTCCTCAAGAGCATGTTGCAAGGTATTTCTTCTAAATTGACTGGAATCTTTAGGTAATGGATCAGAACAATTGGGTCTTGAACTATTAACTGTTTGGAAGTTGACCAAAAGTAGGGAAACAACACAACATGCAAGCAACAATAGACAAATCTTACTGCCTAACATTTTTTTACAGATGGATGTCAAACGAAATGGTGAGGGGTAAGTATGAGAGTTGTGTTCCATGGGGAGTGTCGATTCTTCTCAATTTGGTTGTCTGAGATTTGTCTCACAATTGACTACTGACTGATAAGTTTTATTTGGTGTGTCAGGGAAAAATGATTGGATAAATTCTCCTTTGACACTCTCATTAAGATATTGTCTTTACAATGTTGTATTATTATTATTAATATTACTGGGGTACTAATTCAAAAATTAATAATTTACAGACCTCATTGAATTTCAACGTGAAATTGTCTAGTCAGTTGTCGATTCTAATATTTTGCTCCTTTGCATTTCCAACACTCTTTAAAAAGTTATTTTTGAAATATTTGCACACACTAAAGAACTTTAATTCCTTTTTCAAAATTCTTTAAATAGCACAAAAACCAAGATCCAATTGGAGAAACAACTAAGGAATTTAGTAGTTCTTTAATCCTCATTGGATTCTAATAACTCCTTACTCAAGGTCATCTCAGTTGGTCTTTGTCAAATGAAAAGAAATGTTGCGTGTAACTGCTTTCAAATTGTTACCATGGAGCCAAATTATTTTTAGAATAAATATTACAACAAAAAAAATGGATGATTACGATACAATTGATAATAATCTAGATGCAGGGACACCTCATGATAGGAAGGACATTGATCTGGTTCCACTTGCAATCACTGACAATTTGGATGAATTGACTATAAAGGAATTTGATGAATTACAATCAGCCTTGATTATTCAAGCAGATACATCAGAACCTGCCCACTTTATGCAATGTATTGAAGAGAGATTGTGTTATTATGTTAAAAATCCAAAATTATTCAAGACTTCGGAGGAGTCCACTGAATCACATTGGACGAGATTCATGCTCGATCAGAAATGTATATTCAAGAAGGTGGATCGGATTAATGAATCCAGTTTTTGTAGCTTGCAACCTCAAGTGATGAGGAGCTTTCTGAGAGGATATAATATTGTTTTCTTCACGTTATATTCTGGAACTTATACGGGATTTGATTCAGTTGTTGTAGGTGTGATTAATGATTTAATCAACAGTGGAGAGTTGTCTGTAGTGTTTTTGAGAGGAGCAGGACGATCAGTTCCAATGAGACTTGGTTTTGTGAGAAGAAAGGACACAAATGATGGTTATGTGGAGTATACAGATGGAACTTATGTACAACTCTTGCTACAAAATATTAATCAATTGGATAATCAGAGCTTGACTATATTTGTGAATAAGTGTATGAACAAATTAGAAAATAGAGTTCAAACAATTGGTGAAGTGGAAGAGACTATTGAGGATTGTTTGAAATTGGATGATTTATACATTTGTGGAGTTTGTGACACCACCTTGAGTAATGTAAATGATTGGCATTTACTTGCTAGGAGTGTAAGTGAAAGGCAGAAATATCCATGGGTTATTCACAAAACTAAGAAGGTAATGTTCACTCCATGGTATGGATATAGTCACGGAAATGAAAACCAATGCCTACTGACCTTGTATGCATTGAGATATCTTTTGTATGAACATATGAAGCGCTTCCACAATATCAATAGTTTCAAATCTAATTTATTGATCAAAATAATTAACAATCAACTCTCTGATATCTCAATAGATTTTGAATAAATTCTATTTATCAAGAACATTTTGAACGCAACTTTCAATGTTTTGACTATATGTATCATCTGTTTCTTGGGTAGAAATGTTGTTCAAAAAGTTATTTTTGTAATATGTAACACAAATAACTTTAATTCCTTTTTCAAAATTCTTTAAATAGCACAAAAATCTCATGCCAATCAATGAATTCAACACAAAAAGAATAACACAACATGAATAACAATAATTTTAACAATAATAGTAACAACATGATGATGAATAATAATAGAAGAGTAGGAGATCAAGATTTAAATCCATTGCCTTGTTTTCAACCTTTACATGGAAATGCTCCTTCCTCAATGAGTGGTGGATTTGGTGGCAATCAAGTTGGACCAAATAATCCAATTTTCAATGATCGTTCGAATTTTCCTTCTGCTTCTTCAATGGGAGGAGGAGATATGAAACCTCCTCAGATGTTACCAGGTTCTCGATTTGATCCAGTTTATCCTACCATTGGACCATTTGGAGGTTATGGAAGTGGAAATAGAGGAGGTAGTTCTTCATCTTCGTTTGGAAATGTTAATCCAGATCATCACAAACCTCCACAATTTGAAGACGAAGATTTGTAGTTATTTCTAAAGAGTGAAACAAGAGATTCAACAATATAGCCCGAGTTAATATGTAAAATGAATAAATTTCTGATCCAATTAGTTAAATATTCTTTATATTCATTGTATTAAGGAAATGAATGGCTACGGCCATATCACGATGAATGCACCTCATCCTGTCCGATTTGAGAAGTTAAGCATCGTCGAGCCACATCAGTACTGAGGTTGGAGACAACTTGGAAACCTGTGGTGCTGTAGTCTTTTTAATTTATTAAACAATTTTGGCTGATGGCTCGTGCTAGTAGTTTGGTTTCACATATTCAATTTTTGCATTCTCAAACTTTCTTAAGATTAAATCCTCTCTTGAAATGTAAATAGAAAAAGTATCTTCTGATTCCTCCAAGGTGTCTGATAGCAGTACTATATTATCCTCGTCATCCTCTCTGAGGTAGGATTGAATCATTGTTTCAGGTTTGTCTTCATTATTGTTAAATAGAACGCTTGGGGCTAGATTGCAACCTGAACGATGACCTTGTGCTTGCTGCAAGTAAAAGAGTGGACAACATGAAGGTTGATTGACAATAATTTGTTCATGGTAGACTTGGTATGGATTAATTGGTTGAGGAAATTCAAAGCTTTTGTCTTTGATTTCAAATTCAATTAATTGTTCAGATTCAAGAGAATAATTCTCAAAGAATAGAAAATCTGCTTGATTGATTTTGTGATAAAAGCAATATAATAATCCATTTTTTGGGAACAAACGACATGAAATGAAGGAGGAGAATTTTGAAAAGTCAATCACACCAACTAGTGAATAATTATTTCCAAATTTCAAAAATTCTGAAAGAGCATCTTTAGGAATGTAAACCTTAGACGAAACACGTGATGATAGGTGTTTTGTAAAGTTGAAATTCGCAAATACACCCTTTGTAATTCCAATTTGCAGTTTCTTTTTCGAGTTGTCATATGATTCTACAGAAGAATCGTAATTGAAATATTCATCGAAAAATTCTCTTGATTTCATCAAATCCAAATCACGTATAAATGTCAAATGTCTTCGTACGAGAATAAAGTATAGGGACTTCCAATCATTCTTCTCATAGAAATGATTAATTACTTGTTGGCCAAAATGGAGAGGTTTTAGATCTTTTCCTCTACTCAAAATAGTTTCCAACTCACCAACAGTAAAAGTTGAATCACAGAACCTGAATAAATCTTCTGAAATCGTATTGTTACAAATTAAACTCTTCCAAATATCATTATCATTCATGATGAAATAGTTCCATTGTTTGCAAACCAATCTCATTTCCAAAAGTTCTTCCAACGAAGAAACATTTTTGAGTATGGTGTTATGTAATTCAGTTGGTAGTTGAGTAAAATTAAATTCCTCTCCACTATTGGCTTTCTCATTCACATCAATAGGAGGTAATACTGTTTGATTGGCTCCATAAAAATAATTGAAATCAACGAGAGGCAAATGGTTCATGTGAAATAGTACCGTCCTTTCCAATTCTGCATCTCCTGAAGTGGCTATTTCAAAACAAGAAGGTGTAATATATTCCTGACGGGCATCTCTAGCGGCATTTCCACCCAATTCAATCATTTCAGCTGCCAAATATTCCAGTAAGGCTGTCATTCCAATAAAATATAATTTAACATCCTGATCTTCCAATGGAAGCATTGAAGGAGTATATTCGAAATATTTCAATACCATATCTCTGAGCTCCTCAATTTTAAATGTAAGTGCAATCTTATTTTGCTTTGTGATAAATTTGTAAATCTCTGCAGTGCCATGTTTCGCCAACTCTCCAAATATGTATTTTTTAACAATAGTAGCAAAATAATTCGAAAGTGTATAAACTTTTGACAGGGATTCAGCATCTAATTTAATTCTCTTTTCTCCTTCGTATTCCCGTGTCTCATTTTCTTCACTTTCTCTCATGGAAGCCCACACCTGCATATCATCAAACACTTCCACACTCGAATCTTCAAACAAATGATGATTCGAACAACAAACCTCCCTAGCAAACTCTTCGTGTCTCTGGCAACAAAATTTCTCCAACAATTTGACTTGTTCTTTCGCTTCATCTCTCACTCGGAATAACATGGGACTTTTTAATATTAACCTCCACATGATGATCAATAGGTAGTGTCCTAATTTTCTTGAACCTTCGATTGTTAAATCCAATCCGACGTGAATTGGTTGTGTGAATCTGTTTAAATCGAATAGATCGTCACGACATTCATATTCCGAATCGGATTCATAGTGATCGGTGCATGAGCTAGCATGAGGGAAACAGTGCGTGAGGAATAGCGACATTTTTTTTAAATTGGTGTGGCAAAGTGCAATATTTACTTTAGACTATTCTATAGTCATAATGATTAAGGAAATAAATCCTCTCAAATATTGAACCTATTCAATGTTAAACCTTAAAAGCAAGTGAAGAATATCTTGAGGGAATAAAGAAATCTTCACTGTAAAAAGCCTTCAAACGTTGATTCAATAATTCCTTGAAAATCTTGTAAATTATTTTAGCATCATGATATTGATATAGTAATGAAGATTCAAATCAGCCCCAAGATTTCAAAGCTTCCATAGCTAATTCTTCATCTTCATCCTCTTCCATCGTCATTTCTCGAATCATTTGGTAAGCAAAGCCATTTCTCCTGACAAGGTTGACTAAGAAATCCCTGTCCAACAAGACTTGTTCTGGAATAAGATCAGCCAAATGACCTCCAAAAGGAGAACCAGCACACATTAAAATCACATCTAAAGACTACCCACTCTCTCTTTTTACCAGTGAGTAGTTTTGTGTATAATTTTTCTGCAATGTTGTCAATCCTGCCTGAGCGACTAAATCCAAGTGTTCCAGTTGCACTGGTTCACGAGCAAATGCAATAGCCATAACATTACTATCTGTAATGAATTGTACATCGTCTGAATAAAATTCTGGGTATAGAGTAAAAGCTTGTGGCCATTTCTTCACAAATTCAGATGTAATGGGTGTTACTTTTACAACTTCAGGCATGTGCTCAATAATACGATAGTCAATGTTATAATTAATTAATAGTTTGATGAATTCAGAATCAAGAAATTGTGGTAGGCTTGTCAAATTTCCTTTTTAGAGTCTATTGAAAATGCATTAAATTTGTCAACTACATTATTGTCCATAGTGTTTGTCAATTCTAACAACAAAAAAATACCACAAAACAGATCCGAAATTTACTGCCTTTTTACTGCCTTCCGAATCACGTACATCCATTTTCAATAATAATAATTTAAATATCACAGGATCACTACAGTCAACATTATCATCATCATCATGGTCAACACTCCGTCAAGAAACTCATTCCACTGAGTAGAGAAGAATATTGGAAAATAATATTTACTGATGATTTTGATAAATTCACAGCTCCTCTGCTCAAATTCAACAAAGTTGAAACTGAAACACTTCCAAGTGAAGATGTCAATATTGTCAAGAGAACTGCCAAAGTATTTCCAGATTATGACATTCCCCATGCATTGTTGCACTTGTTAGGTCAGGAAGAATTTCACTATGTCGATCATCAGGAAAAGCATTTATTGAACTATACCATGAATAGTAATACTATGCCTCCACTGAGTCATCACGATATTCTAAAGATCAGTACTCATCAACATATTGAACCAATTGACGAACATAGTTGTTATCATGTTTTGGAAACAGAAATTCACTGTTCTGTGTTGTTACTTGGTCATTTGGTTGAGAAGGCAATTATTCATGGTGTTGAGAATGGTTATGATTTATTGCCAAAAGCCGTGGAAGCTTACATTGCTCACTTGAATTCGGAAGTAAAATAAGAAAATAACTTGAATTTGAACCAACACTCTATTTTTAAATTATTCAAAATAATATGAAAATGAATGTGCATATTTGAAATTGAAGAAGAGGTTCATTTTCGTAAGTGAATCAGAGGTTCAAATTCAAACAGAAGTCTGAATATGAAGCTGTGGAGGTTCAAATTGAAAACAAGCAAATTTAGCTCTATTTAAACAAGCTCTCAGGTATTCTCACTCCATCAAACAAACTAAAAAAAACAACAAATTGACTAACAGCTCATTCTTTAGCTCAATATTCAAACAGAGATTATTAAAATAATTACAATATGGTCAAGTTCAGTAAAGAAATACTCGAAAGGCTCTTACTCGACAGTAACAAGATTCGTAACATTAGTATAATTGCTCACGTTGATCATGGTAAATCAACACTCACTGATCAATTGGCTTTAGCAGCTGGTTTAGTGGATGAAGATGCTGCAGGTGAGAAGAGAGTTTGTGACGTAGATAAGAATGAAATTGAAAAGGGTATTACCATTAAATCAACAAGTTTGAGTATGGTATTGGAAAATCCAGACAAGGAGAATGATCATCATTTGGTTAATTTGATCGATTGTCCAGGTCACATTGATTTCTCATCTGAAGTTAGTACAGCTTTGAGAATTACTGATGGTGCAGTGCTGATTGTTGATGCTGCTGAAGGTTGTAGAGGTCAAACTGAAACAGTAATTAGACAATCTCTTCAAGAAAGAATTCGTCCAGTTCTCTTCATTAACAAGGTTGACCGTTTGATTGAAGAAATGCAATTTACTGAAGAAGAAAGTTATCAAAACTTTTTAAGAATTATCGAGTCTGTGAATGCTCTATTATCAACTTACTCTGATGAGTCAGTTTCTGTTGATCCAGTTGATTGTAACATTGCTTTTGGATCAGGTAAGATGGGTTGGGCTTTCACTTTGGAGCAATTCGCTCAATTATATAGCAAGAAGTTTAAACTTCCAGTTGAGAAGGTTATTAACAAATTGTGGGGTGAAAATTATTATGATCACTCAACTAAGAAGTTTACCACTGAACCTTATTCATCGACAAGTGGTCAACAATTGAAACATACTTTCTGTGAATTCATTTTAGAACCTATTTTCAAGATTTTCAAGTTGGTTAGAGAACATACAATTTCGAGTGAAGGTATTTTGTCAACAGATTTGGAAAATATCATTGGTGCATTGTCTATACCTCTGACGAAAGAAGAAAAGAGAAAGGAGCCGAAACTTTTAGCTAAATCAATCATGAGAAAGTTCCTCCCAGCTCACAAACCTCTAGTTCAAATGATTATCAACCATTTACCTTCTCCTAAAGAGGCTCAAAAGGTCAGGTATGATAACCTCTACACTGGTGAAGATTTGACAGATCCATACGCTACTGGTATTAAGGAATGTGATCCAAATGCACCACTGGTTGTCTATGTCAGTAAGATGGTACCTATGCACTCTAATACTAGCTCTAGTATGAGTAATAATGTTGGTCGTTTTATTGCTCTAGCTCGTATATTCTCTGGTAGTTTGACTCAATCAACTAAGGTGAGAATTTTGGGTCCTAACTATGATCCAATTGCTAAGAAAGATGTTTTCCATACAAGCATTCAAAGATTGTTAGTCATGGTTGGTAAAAACACTGAAAGTATCACTCAAGCTTCTTGTGGTGCCATCGTCGGTATTGTTGGTCTTGACAAGTACATTATCAAATCATGTACATTGACAGAAGAAGGACAAGTTGCATGTATGCCAATTAAGAATATGAAATACTCTGTGAGTCCTGTAGTTCAAATGGGAGTTGAGCCAGTCAATCCAGCTGATTTATCTCGATTTGTTGAAGGTTTGAAACGTCTCGTTCAAAGTGATCCTCTATTGGAATGTAAGCAAAATGATAGTGGTCAACATATTCTTGGAACAGCAGGTGAATTGCATTTGGAAATTTGTTTAAAGAATTTAGAAGAAGAATATGCAAGAGGAATTCAAATTAAAAAGTCTCCTCCTGTTGTCACTTTCCACGAAACAGTTTCAAATAAGAATGGTGACATGGTCATGGCAAGAAGTGCTAACGGCCACAATCGTTTATACATGCAAGCTGAACCAATCAGTGAGGAATTAATTGAAATGATTAAGGAAGGTCAATTGCCAATGGATGATCAAAATAAGAGAGCAAAGATTTTAGAAATTGACTTTGAATGGGATCCTAGTATAACAAAGAGAATTTGGAGTTTTGGACCTGAAGCTGATAAGGGTAGTAACATTTTGGTAAATGCAACCAAGTCAGTTGACTATATTAATGAAATTCAACAATATGTGGTCACTAGCTTCCAACAAAGCAGTTCTTCAGGAGGTTTATGTGACGAAGCAATGAGAGGTGTTTTATTCAAATTTAATGATTGTAATCTTCATGCAGATTCTATCCATCGTGGAGCTGGTCAAATTCTCCAAGCAACATCTCGTGTCATGACTGCTAGTCAATTGAGAGCTGATCCAAAGTTAGTTGAACCAATGTATCTTGTTGAAGTTCAATGTCCTCAATCAGTGATGGGTTCTGTCTATAGTGTCATTTCTAATAGAAGAGGTGTTATCAAATCTACTGAAATGGTAATTGGTACTCCTCTCGTTAGTATAACTGGTAATTTACCTGTGTTGGAAAGTTTCGGTTTAACAGAAGAGTTGAGAGGTGTTACTCAAGGACAAGCTTTCCCTCAATGTAGTTTCAGTCACTGGAAAGTTATGGAAGACAATGTTTATGATCCTCAATCTAAAGTTCACAAACTCATCAAATCTATCAGAAAGAGAAAGGGTCTTAAGGAAGATATCCCACTCTACACAGATTACTGTGATACAATGCCTAAACAATAAGAGTTTTAACATTTAGTAATAAATTACCTTTTTCTCCAATCTTTCAATAGCTTATTTTCTTAGTGATGTCAATTGTTTCATTTCACTTATCAATTTTACTTCTTCATCACCAATTTGATTGCCACCAATATCAAGTGATGTCAATTGTTTCATTTCACTAATGTATTTTGCTCCTTCTCTGCCAATTCTATTATTATATATATCAAGTGATGTTAATTCTTTCATTCCACTGATGAATTTAGCTCCTGTATCGCCAATTGAATTGTTAGCAATATTAAGTGATGTCAATTGTTTCATTTCACTTATGAATTTAGCTCCTTCACCACAAATTCTATTGTAAGAAATATTAATTGATATTAACTGTTTCATTTCACTTATCAATTTAGCTCCTTTATCACCAATTACATTGTAAGAAATATTAAGTGATGTCAATTGTTTCATTCCACTGATGAATTTTGCTCCTTCTGCACCAATTACATTGCCATTAATATTAAGCGATGTTAATTCTTTCATTTCACTTATAAATTTTGCTTCTTCAAAATAGTCAAACAAATTTGTTGAAAATTTAAGATTAACAATACTATTCATAAATTGACTTTTCTTTAATATTTCAACTCGTTTCTCTGTAAATTTTTTTTTAAATTGAATAACAAGTTTTGAACGTTCCTTGATCACATTAAAGAATTGTTTTGAAATTAAAGTACAATTATTTAAAATAAACCACGAATCATCAATCATTGAAATTATTTCAAAACAAATATCATCTGAAAATATTTCTTGTTCGAGTTTTACATGCTTTTTTACTTTCTCTTCTATATTATTATTATTATTATTGTTAGTGAATATTTCCTCCGAATTAATGAATTGATGATTTTCAAAATCTTGTCTGTTAAGTTTACTCATTTTTTTTAAATTAGTGTTTTTTACTCTTTTTCTTCCGACTTTGGCTCATGTGTGGATTCCATGCTAAAGAAGTGCTCTACCATGTGAGCTACACCCCATTACATTCATTTAGAAAACACACTATTGATGAATGTTTCAGGAAATTGTTTAGAATAAAATTCGAGAACAATTGCAAGTTCAAAATCACTTCCTATTCCTTCGTATGCAGAAGGCATAAAACCATCCATTCAATGGATAGATTAAAATCTTCTCATTTCTTGAAATGAATATTCTTGCAACTCGATTCTAGAACCGTTTACTTGAGATTTAATTGCAATGAACGCATGAGCTTAACCAAAGTTTCCTTTAAAGATGTTTACCAATGAAACGTGACATGTGAGATTTGCCAAACGAAAAGTCAAAAAAACATGCACATCAGCTTTACGATTTCATTGGTGTTGTGTTTAGTTCAACTACACTGTGTGATTTGTAGTTGTGGGTTAAAGACAGCGAGTATTGGTCAATTGAAGGAAATTTATGGTCAACAACCAATTCAGATAGTTTCGTCCAATGAAACTATTATTGCAATAGCTCTTAAAGGTTATTCAACTACTACACCAAGATCACTATTTGAAAACAAGAGAATCATTCTATTTACTCCAAATTCTGATTTTTACTCAGTTTCCGACCAACGATTGAAAATATTAGAAAGTTCCTTTAACACATTATTAGAAATTTATAATATTTCAACTTCTGCATATGCTGATATCAAACCTATTTCCATTCTTTCAGCTGTTAGAATCAACTCTGATTGCGTGTTTGGAAGTATTCTTGTTGATTATTGGTCATCAAATGAAGGTCCAATTATCATAACAACTGACAGAGAAATGCCAAAGGTTTTGAGGTTGATTAGAGGAAATAACAAGCTAGGTAGATACCTACAGGTTGAAGATTTAAATGTTGTGAGATTGGCACCATTGTTCTTTTCATATTCCAACAGTCTAGATCAAAACCAAATCTCATGTGTCACTGATTATTTTAACAACTTCACTACAACATGTGATTCATTAATTAGATTGTGCAGAGAAGAAGTGAAAGGGGATTCTTACCGTACTTCATGTTATTTGAATCACGATTATTGTCTGTTTAGGTCATCAAAAATTTCTCTATCAAATTCTAGTTTCGAATTTAATAATTTTGTGAAATATCTTCAAAGCAGTTACCCTCAAATCACATTGTATACAAACGAAACAATTTCAAGTATTGGAATCTCCAATATCACCCTTTCTTACATGAACAGTGAAGTATATGAATGTTCATCCTCCACCTGTGCCTTTGAACCTGTTAAATATGAAGAAATCCAAGGTGTTTATGCAATTTTTTTTCTATGTATCTACTATATTGGTCTGTTATTGACATTTAATACTAAATCCATCAAAATTAGATTGGCTGTTCCATACCTTTGCCCACTCTTTGTTATTATGCGAAACATTTTCCAGATTATGGTATTTACTGCCAATTGCACTCGATTGTATAATGGAATAGCCAATGCAGTTGTAATGTATCCTGTATTCCTGTATTTTATAACAGTTGTGAGATATTTCTATCTGAGAAATTTGTTTACAATAATTTCAAAATCTGATCATTTCAAATTTTTCAAGTTTTTGGGAAAGAAGTGGTTAGGATTAGTTACAAGTGTAACAGTACCTTTTATTCCTCTTGGAGCTTCGGTTCTCATGATACTAGAAAAAGAAGTTTACCTTACTTCCTATTTGGGATATTTCAGAAATGCACCTCTTGGTGCTGTCATTATTCTATGTATTGTAATTGGTTTAATATTCTTGCTATTGGATATGATTGGAAATCGAAGAAAGATCAAAAAGAAAGGAATATACTACTACTTTTTCTTTGATGATCCGTTCTATATCAAGATAGACTTGTTACTCATATTTTTACTCCTCGTACTCACAATTATCACCCTGTTAGTGTATAATAATCAATTTGCCATTGGAGTATTGACAGTTCTATTTTCATTGACTTGTTATTTAATTCTTGGTGGAAGTGCAATGATTATTGAAATTTATAGAAAAATAAGTAAATTACTTTCTTCAAACAGAGGCAATGAACCAAAAGGAAAGAGAACATTGGAATCCAGATTGGAAGATGTGAATTTGATGAAATTATTGAGAAAGTTTGCAAAGAAGGAATTTTCAATTGAAAATGTAATGTTATATGAAATGTTAATATCATTGGAGAATAAGAAAAGCCCATCTTCAGGTAATGATAGATCGAAATCAAGTATGGGAGCATCTACTGACTCATTGCCTACATCCAATTCAAGAACCTCACGAACATTTAGTTCAAGTTCCCTCGTCAATTCTGCAGATTCATTCTTAACTTTCGAACAGGCTGCCCAAATTGAAGAGCTCTATATGAGAAATTATTCCAAGTTTGAGGTCAATTTTCCAAACTCTACTAAAAAGGCATTTTACAAATGGTTTGAAGAGAAGAAACAAGTTTGTGAGCAAACACCAACTGCAAACTCAATCCCTTACTCTGAATTGAGAGAAATCCTCATCTTTGAAGTCATTAAGAATGTATCTGATACCTTTTCTAGACTTGAGGAAACAGCAGAGTACAAAAAGTGGCTCAAACTCACAGAACTTCAAAAGGAAAATGAATTATATGACTTTTAAGTGGGTCATCACATGATGTTCCTTCAATATAGTTGTGAAATATAATAAAAGAATGATCAAATTATCTCCTAAAAGAACGCTCTATTTCCTCTTCCACAGTAATCTTTGGATTGGTTTTGTCCTTCACACTTCCAATTTAATTATTTCAACAACAATAAAAATTCACACAATGTTGATCGGAGGAAGTAGTAACAGTGGAAGGAAGAGGACTCTTGCCCTCCTTCTGTTGAGTATTGTTGCCTTAATATCTAAATTATCAACTGCTCAACAACTTAAAGTGAGAGATTCTAAAGTGTCCAATGGTGAAAAGGCAAGCACCAACGAATTTCCATTCATTGTCTCACTCCAACAGGCTGATGATATCAGCGCCAAAAGCTACAGTCACACTTGTGGAGCTTCAATTATAAATTCCAAATATTTACTCTCAGCTGCCCATTGTTTCAGTCCCCCTGATACATTACCTTGGATTGCTGTATATGGTGGAAATTCTGTGAGTGATGTACAACGTAAATATATTAAGATAAAGAACATTCATGTCCATCCTCAATATAGTGATTCAAATAATAATGTTGTAAATGATATAGCTATTCTTGAATTGGAATCAGCAATGACATTGGACGGTAAAACAGCTAAGGCTGCCTATTTGGAAATTGGATCAATTCCTATTGGTTTCTCATCTATTGTTGCTGGATGGGGAACAACTGTTGATACTCAACCACTTCCAACAGATTTGATGAAAGTTACTGTACCTGTGGTTGATATGAGTAAATGTAATGCTATTAACTTGGATGCTTCATCACCAAAACAAATCTGTGCTGGCGATGGAAAAGGACATGACAGGTAGGTGTATTTATTCCTCATTATTTAAGTTGAAAATATTAATTCCAATAATTAATTAATGATAACTAGCTGTCAAGGTGATTCTGGAGGGCCATTATTTTACAAAGCTCCTAATTCTACAAATGATTATATTGTTTTTGGTATTGTTAGTTTTGGACCTAACGGATGTGGAACTGCAGGATCGGTTTCAAATAGAGGTATCTATACAAATGTTACAAGTTATTTGGATTATGTACAAACATATACCACTTTCGATACAAGAGTTAATAGCGCAAATGTATTGAGTATGCATCTTGTTTCCTTAATTATGGTTATCGTTGCATTATTTGCTTTGGTTTTGTAAAATATATAACTTATAAAATACATAATAATTGAATAATCAATAAAATTAAAAGTGCTATCGAATATTGAGTGATGGAACTGGAACTCAGTACAGGTTTACCATTACATGTGAAATTTTTCAAATATCCCATATATCTTTCCTTTACAGATGCATCAATGAAGAGTGAAGAAAAGGCGGCATCCTCAATAATCTTGGTAGCTCTATCTGAAGTATAATATTCCAAAAGCTTGCCCAAATAAGTAGCCTTTACACAATCATTCATTGTGGATGACAAATAGACAATATAAGAAACACCAACGAATGGGTAAATATCTGGCCTATCTATAACCACAGAAGGATGCATAAAATTCTCATTAAATGATATTCCACTTGTTATTACACCTTTTAGATAGCTCGATGAGGGAGTGACAGAAGCTCCTAATTTTGTTTTGATAGTTGCTGGAGCATGCTGCTCAAAAGTAGTAGGTGTAGAGTACCCAATAGTGTTTGGTGTGCTAGTAATGATGAAAGAAACATCTTTGGCATCCTCTGCATAGATTATTCTGTTCGATAAGAGGGATGACCATTTGATTAAAGTTCCCGATCCATATGTTGAAGCCCACTCCTTTGAAAATGATGATAATCCAGTAGTGAGCATGTCAGTAGTGCCACTTGAATCATTTCTAACAACCACATAAATTGATGTATTTGGGAGTGCAAGTGATGGATTCAACAATTGCAATGTTTGGTCATTCCATCTGGAAATGGTTCCATTAAATATTCCTACAAGCGCCTCCTGGGAAAAGGTAATTGAATAACCACCCTTCAATCCTTCAATATTACTCTAATTATGTTCAATATTAATTTCTTTCGCTATCCTACATACAATTATTGAAATATATGTTGTCATGATTGGCAACACTTTTGCATCTGTATTAATTTTTCTGTCAGCTGCCTTTAATCCATAATCAGTTGCTGCAAATGAATAAACTCCATTCGAATTAAATAAATTTTTCACACCAGTCCCCGATCCAGAGGCATCATACATTACATCGACACTTCTTCTCATGTATCCAATAAAATAATTTGCTGCTTCTTTATGAAATTCTTCAACAAGTGAAGATCCACTTCCCAATAATAATGGCACTTCAGCAGCATTCACAAAACTCGTACTATTCAATAATGACATTAACAACATGATCATCACTCCAAAACTTATCATCATCATGGAAAAATTATTTTTACAATATTTATAACCACCACTACTATTGCTACTATTCCGATCAAAAAGATTAAATAATTTTAATATTGAATTGGTGCGCCTCCAATCATGATCCTTCTCACCACCCGACGATGATACCACCGTCCTAGCTTGATGATTATTAGTAGTAGGACATCCCAACCCTTCGCACCTCCACATTTGAAAATATGCCCGACTCATTCTATTCATTTTTTATTTTAAAGCGTCTCAAAAAAAATGTCGTACCACCCAGTAACTACACTGTTGACCCTGAGACCACAGTGTGTTGCCGCAATACTTACGTCGGGTTAAGTCACCGTACCCTATACTACCCGGGGTTCCAGCATAGGGTGTTCAAGCCAAGTATTTGTGTCCACAGAGTTACAAGAAATGAACAAAGCAATCCCAACAAGAAAGAATTTATTATTTAATATTCGTAATATCATCAAGACGAACCCGTCGGGTTCATACGATTAATAAACGTTTAAATTTTTTATTTTAAAGATAACTTGTGGAAATTCTGCATGAGCGCTTATTTTGAATTTTTAATTGTTTCACGAGTGCGAGTTTTAAGATGTGAATTAAATTCAATTAGTATTCTAGTGTATACAAATGAAAAAGGAATGGATTACAATTGGTGTAGTACTTTTCTTCAAGGAATAAATATCTGTGTTACAAAATTGCATGACATGGAATCAAACCAAATAGACCCAGTCAAGTCACAAGTCAGATTTAAAAAGGAGACAATTACAAATGAAAGTGATCCAGTTTTTTGTACGATTAATAGGTCGATTATATTACTTTGCTTTTCTGTCTTGAACCTGAGTATTTTGAATGAATAATTGTTGATTCTTCTTATTCTTATTCTAAAGGTTTCTTCACATCACTGAAAAAAAAGTACACACGCCTAAAAGACCGTACTCTCTTTTGAGCACAAACCTCAGTTGTCCTTCACTCCTCTCACGGTAATTCATAAAGACGCACCTTTTCTACTTCAGTCATCCTCCTAACTCTATTAGACTGTAGACGAAACATTCTCAAAAAAAAAGAATCAATTTTGTACGAAACACCATTCATTAGGTTGAAAGAGCTGGTCATTCAACCACACTGAAACCCATTTTCATTATCCCTTTCCTCCACAGTTTAAACTGACATTACCCATGACCAGTTTCCACAACACACAACAACAATCGGACGAAAGTACCTCTTCGTCTTCCAAGCAACAACACAAAGTTACTCCACTCTCAGCTGATGCCTTTAATCAACCAATTCCTCATGTTTCATCATCTTCCTCCATTACAACCACAACTTCTTCAATTACTAGTACAAGTACCAGTACTACTACCACCTCCACAACAATGAGCAATTCGAATAGTGAAGCCAATTTATTCAACATTAGTGTTCAATCACCAGGAGGTACACCAACAGCACCAACAATTTTTAGTAATAACAGTTCTAATAGTTCCAACATCACCAGTACTACTACTACTACTAATAATAATAATCATCATCATAAGAAGGTTGCCTTTAGAGATTCATCCGAAGAAGAAGAAGATGAAGAAGATCATGATATTGAAGAAGAGGATGATGAAGATCATGATATAGATATTGTGCTGGCCCATAAGAAGGACATTAATCGATTGAATGTTCTCAAGAATAAGATTGCCCAATCACCAGTCTATTTTACCAGATATTTGGTAGAGACTTATCCGAACATGATACAACACAATCAACTCGATGAAGTGATCCTTCCCAATAATAAGAGGAATATTTGGCAGAATCAACAATATGGTTTCATCAGTGAAATGTGTGGAACAGTCTATAATGAATTCAAGGCCAAACAATTATTCTTATCACGTTCCTATAAGAAGGCTTCATCATCATCATCAGCCCATAATGATAGTCCTAATCATCATCATCAAGTTGATCATTTAAATTATTGCAAACAATATTACTTTTACACTCCGTATGAAAATTATATTCTTCCCTATGAGGAGAGTATGAATGATTCATCATCATCATCGACATCATCATCAACCACCAACAATAACGATAAGGATCTCAATTTCCCGCCAACAAATACTAGTGGTGGTGCAGGTGGACGTCTTACTGACAAGGATAAACAAAAAAACACCTCAAAAACACCATCACTTGCATCAAACGTATCACTTGCTGTGGATCTACAACAATCAGCCTTAAATATAGCCGTTACAAATAATAAGGCAAACAAGATGGAACAAGGTGAATCAACAACAACAACATAGTACTACGGAGCAAGGCAAGACAGTTGGGGAAGATGAGACAAAAACGTCATCTGTAACCGTTATTAATAATGATAATACACAAAATAATTCAATTAAGGAAGATGATTCAAATGAAATTCAGCTCGAACTCCCTCAAAACCAACAAGTAAATTGTACAGAAAATAATAGAAAAGTGGAAAGAGTAGTAACATCAACAAGTTCATCAGAGAATAATTCCGAACAATACGTTCATCGTAGGGCATTGAGTGATAGTGCTACATTGTGGAATGCTTCTATCATCAGCAGCACTGCTGATGAGCCAGGATTTAAAACACCAACAAAGAAAATTACACTCACAAACCGTTTTGATTCAGCAGACGATATTTCCTCAGGTGTACCATCAACTGTTGAGAGAGATACTGATATTTTGGCTAGTAATAGGGATGGTGACATTAGATTCATGATTGATCCCTCTGCTTCACCATTTGTTCCAGTTTCACCATTGGTGGCAGCTAATGCATTTTCACCAAGGTCTATTCCTGTGACTTCAAATGCCTTCCAAGAACTTGATAACCAAGGAATTTCGCCAGTATCTCCTCGTTTACTTAGATCTGGTAGTGTTGTCGCCCTAGATAAAAAGACTCCTAGCTTGCAATCACCACTCAAGAAGAAAGCTCACAGAAGAGTGAAAAGCTTTAACTTGACTCATGCTGCTGGAGTTTTTGGGTCAGAATTTGATATCAAGTGTGTTAAAGTTGAACTTATAATGATGGATATTGATACCTACATGACCAAATTTGAACCTATTAGAATAATGGCAGATCGATGGATTAGAGATTTAGATTTTATCAAATTTGGAGTTAAAATTTTTAATAGAATTTATGTTTGGCTTGAAGATTCTCTGGTCCATCAATTTTCGACAGATAAGATTGATTTATCTGACTGTCCTACAATTGAATTCAACTTGTCTGAACAACCACTTTCCAAAGTATTAGACACAACATGTCAAATTATCAATGAATACAATACCAAACAGAAATACTCCTACTATAATTACCACTCGTTTTCCTTTGCTAGAAGAGTCATTGAAAAATTAAGTGGTAAAAAGCTCAAGAGTAAGAATGTTTTACCAAAAACCTTGGTGAAATACTATAGAGAATATAGAGATATTGAAAAGAAGAAGAAAGAAAAAGAGGAAAAGGAAGAAAAAGAACACGCAAAGGTATCAAACTCAGCACCATCTCCTGCTACTCCAAACGAACAAGGTAAGGAGGGTGACGAGTTTGATGATGCAACCCCAACATGCAAAGAAAATTTACCTTTCACTCCAGAAGACTACTTGGATTTATTAATAGAGGAAGAAAGAAATAGAGATACCAATTTTATTTATTATGTTCCAAAGAGATTAATTCTCAAAAAGTACAGAAAGTTCCACCAAAAACAAGAGATCAAGAACCACACTTACCTATTGAACTTGATCAATTCTCTTCTTGAGCAGTGTCCAAAGTTTAAGGAGGAATACAAATTTGATTATTTGATTCTTAAAACTTTGGATAGAAAGTTTTGGTTGGAAAAGTATTTGCAAGAGAAGTATGATCCTGTAAAGCAAAAATGTAAATTTTTCCACAAAGAAGGTACAAAGATTCACTTTGCCGAACCAATCTATTTGAGAGATTTACTGAAAGAGAGAATTCATAGAAGAAGAAAGTTGTTTAACGTTAAAATTGAAGATGAACAAGTTGGCCTCGAAGAATCTCCAATATGGAAAAATGATAATGACAATATCATTACCAACTTTTCCAAACACAGAGAGGAAAAGAAAGGCAAAACTGTAAAGGTACTTTCTATGGATGGTGGTGGTATGAAGGGTCTTATTTTGATTGAGATTTTAAAGGTAATTGAAGAAAGAGTTGGTAAGAAGATTTGTGAAATATTTGACATTGTTGCTGGAACAAGTACTGGTGGAATTGTTGCATTGCTTATTAATGGAGGAGTTCCAATGAAGCTTGCTAAAGAATATTATATTGACATTGGTAAAAATATTTTTGACTTGAAGACAACCCACAACAAGTCTCTTGTCAAGACAATGAAAGTCCTCAGAGGTAGAAGTTGGTATGATGGATATCATCTTGAGATGACCTCAATGAATCTTACTCAAGATGTTGACTTGAATACTCTTCACAAAAAGAAACCTTTTACATTCCTTGTCTCTACAATGGACAAATCTTCGAATCCTAAAATGAACTTGGATGAGCCAACAGCCTTTGTTTTCAGAACATACAGCGACCCTTATGACTACACAGAGGAAAGTGAGTCTTCATCTTTAACAAGCTCATCAAAGAAACAGCCATCATTCTACCGAGGTACTAGCACAGGTGCTGGTATTACAGCTATGGATGTTATTAGAGCTACTTCTGCTGCCCCAATGTACTTCAAGCCAAGAGTAATTGGTGATTCTGAATTTATAGATGGTGCAGTTGTTGCAAATAATCCAATTCAACTTTGTAAGTATTAATTAGAAGTGTTGTGTTTTAAAATTATATTTTAGCAATGTATGAGGCTAAGCAAATATTCCCTAATCATGACAAGTTTGTTTTTGTTAGTTTGGGAACAGGAGCATTATCAGGGAAAAATAGTGAAGAAGATGGAGATGAAGAAGTCAATTTAAATTTAAGTCCACAAGGAACTAATACTAAACCAAGGAAAAAGTCAATCATGAAGGCATTCAAGGGTATTTCTCAAACATTGAACACACTACTTTCAGTGGTAAACTTACAATTGAGCAGTGATAGAATTCACAAAATGGCTACTGCTCAGCTCGAGTTCTTTAAGGAAGGAAAGAGTTTGTGTGAATACTTTAGATTGAATGTTCCTGGGTTGGGAGATAAGGGACTCGATGAAGTTGATGATGAATTATTTGCTCTCTTTGAAAAAGATACTGTTGCATATATGGAAAATCATCCAGACTTGGACAGACTTTGTCAACTTTTGAAAATGGAGTAAATTCTTTCCATTAAACCATTTTATTTATTATCTACACCAGAAATCATAATCTCTGGAAGTTCAATCGCTTGAGTGTTCAACCGTTCAGGTTTGCTCTTTTGGTTGTCTGATGCTTGATCAGGAATGTGCACAATGATATCATCTCCATTGATACTTGATGTTTCAAATGTTGGAACGGAAGCAATCGATCGCAAGGTATTGTTCGATGTTTCCTCAATATTTTTGTATCTTCCAATAGGTGGAAAAACTCTAAGTTTCATATCATTATTTTTAAGTGTAAAGACTCTGACTTCCTCCTTAATACCTTTTAGGGAGCAATATCCAAAATCTTCGGCTGTATAGATTGGATTGGATCCAGGAACAACTGATCTACGCTTCTTTGACAATGTGGATTCAGAGCTTCTTCTTGGTATGTTTAAGGATTGATGCGACAATTCCTCCTCGAAACTTGGGCCAGAAATTTTAAATAAATATTTGCTTTCTTGTAACATGGCCTCACTACATAATATTTCTCCTCCTCTTGCAAGAGCTTGAATTCTGGCAGTCTGGTTAATGGTGTTGCCAAAGTAATCTGGTCTTTTCACAGTCTTATCAAAAATATATTCAGCTTGACCACAATGAAGCCCCATTCTTACCCTCAAACCAGAATAAATCAAAACTTTTGTTCCTTCCTCAAATTCTGGTCTACAATCATACTGTGTAATAATATCAGATGGCCAATTTGCTTTCAATAAATCACTTTGAACAGAGAATGCCCAATTAATACAATCTTCTATCTTTCTAAAAGCAACAAAGAATGAATCCCCTTGAGTTTTGACTTCGTAACCTCTGTATTTCTTAATATTATCCCTAACTATCTTGTTATGTATAGCAAGAGCTAATTTCATTGCTTTCTCATTGTATTGCCACAATACAGTAGAATTTTGAATATCAGTAAACGCAAAAGAAATGACTCCTCCTTTTGGAGCATGAAGGTGTGACTTTTTAGCCTTATACTGTCTGTAAATTAATAAACCTGATATTCCCATGGCTACAATCAAAAAAATTATAGCCAATATAGAAATTAGAATATAATAAAGATAATCCATGACTGCAGGGGAAGGGAAGTTATACCCACATGTTGAAATTGTGAAAAGACTGTTTGGTTCTGTGACTGTTATGACTTCACTTGTGTTACTAAGGGAAAATCTGCTAACGTACAATCTTCTTGTTCCTTGATTGCAGGTATTGGTGAACTTTCCAAGAGTAATGTCACCAATATCTAAAACAGAGAGACTATATATCTTGTCAATGAAAGCCTGTTGTTGTCTTGGTTGTATTCTATCTAAGAATGACTCAAATACTTTTTCAACAAACAAAAAGGAAACGAAACCATCTATAGACTCTATTGTTGGCACGTCGTTTGGAAACGAAACTTGAAAATGCTTTGTGAATTCAGATTCCACAAATCCCGTCATTTCTGTTGTGAGGGATACTATAGTGGACATGTAAACATTCGAATGAAGGGACAACAACTCTTTAAGATCATCATGCTCTTCATATGCTTCTGAAATCAAACCAACTCTGTTCATTATCTTCTGATTTGCTCTAATAAACTGAATGATTTCTTCTGTTTCTGCCATAATTATTACTGACCCTGCTTGATCACTGACACAAGTCATACAAGTGAGGGAAACTCTTGAAAGTTGTCTGTTAGTTATTATATTTTGGATAGTTTTCAATACCTGGGGTTGAGCATAATTATTAACATCCAAGGACTCATAAACAATAGTAATTGCGTCACTAAATTTTAGGAAAAATTCAACCAAATTGAAGATTTCATCTATTAAGGAAGGGTAGATGTTAATTACATTTTTTTTGTAATTTCTGTATTGCATGTTAGCAGTTTTGGGGCCGATAATTGGTAAACTAATGTTCGTAAACATTTCAATGTCATAATCTACATCTGGAGCGATAACACCAAATATTTGCTGTTTAGAGGTTAAATCGTTAGCTAACATTTGAATATCAGAAGATCCATTAAAAGTTTGAGTAAGAAATTGAAAGGCAAATGAATATTTCCCCATGGTATTAATATCATTAATGAAAGATATTACTCCTTTTGCAAAATCATCTATTGCTTCGATGGTAAGTTGTTCAGTGTCTCCTGGTTTGAATCTAACGAACTGCATTGGTCTTCTAAAGTTGAGGGTACTGGAATCCTCTAAAACAGATTGTAAACAACATGATTGTTGTTGGAAACCTGTTGTTGATAGTATTGAGGTTGAACAATTTCTTATCTGGAATAGAAATCTTGTTCTCGACCCAATATTGCACAATGAATTTTTCTTGTCTCTAATAAAGTATCCATACTTTTGGTCTCTCACCACTATCTGTTGACTTTTGTATATAAAGTCAATAATTGCCTGACCTGTTATTGAGGGTGCTGAATCTGCAACTGATCCCAATATTGATCCAACAAACTCTCCAATAAAATATCCTTCAAGAGCCAAATCAGAAGAATAATACCCAGAAAGATCTGTTAGAGGCGGTGTAGTTGATTTAAATCTTGAAACAATGGTTACGGCCGAGATTTTTGGATCTGGGAATGAAGAACTATATAAGATAGGTCTTTGTACACCTTTAGGTCCACTCTCAAGGCTTGACAAGACTAGCTTTTTCTTCTCTTCCAAAACAAAAAACAATGCATCTTGTCTAAGATTACTACTTGCATCCAACTTTAAAAGAGTTCCAGGGAGAATGGCAGATGCACATGCTACTAGAACCACTTGTGGGTTTATCGAGATGCTATCGAAAAGAATGGTATCTGAGCATCCATGCTCACTCTCAATTGTTAGTTGCAATTTTGACATTAAAAGTTTGAAAATTTTGTTGATATGGACGTATGCAGGACAGTTCACTATTGATATTCTGGTAACTCCTCTTTTGAATGCATGTTGAAGCAAAGTTCCAATTTCCTCAATGATTGTACTTCTAATGTTTACCATGGATGGGATAAACAACGAACCAGTTGTTGACATGATTGACGGATTGTCAACTACACTTCCAATCAGAGGAATATGTGGGAAGGATGTTTTAAATATCTCTCTGAATAGATCAATAGAGGAAGTATTTAAACTAATAACTTCTCCCAATCCAGAAGATCCAACCAATGCAGTAATATAGTAGTTTTCAACGAGATCTTGAGTGGTGGAAATAAGAGATTGGAAATCTGAGTAAGTGCGAGTTAGTAGATGTATAGGTCTTCCCTGGACATATGCAGTGGATAAGGCGGCTTTAATTCCGTTAGTGAGATAGGTATTAGAAGATCCTAGATTGTTATAAACAAGTTGTGCTAATAAAATTGGATTGATGACATCGCCTGGGGTTGAAATACATGTGCCAGAAGTGTACCATGAAAATGGAGGTGCATAATTATAGAAATTCAAGTTAGAATCAGCTTTCGTCCTCCAAACTGATTTTGAGCCTTGATTGCAATCAAATTGAGTGGAAAAATTTGTTTGAATAAGGTAAACAGGATCCTTGACAGACACTGAAGAGAATGGTCCTAATTTCAAATTGTCAAACATAACTTCTTGTGAATAGTAAAGATTAGTCAGCATGTTACTGGGGGACATGTATCCAATTATTCTGTGGAGCAAGTGATACGTCATTTTTCCAGCAATATATCCCTCTATTTCAATAAATGTACCTTGTGTAAAATTAGAATCTATTGATTTCCTTGCGGTGATGAAAGATTTAACAAGGGTCGAGGATGTATCTGTTGGAGAAGGGGCAACTTGTGAAAACAGAACTCTTGGAGCAATTTCAGGGCCTAGCTCCTTTACAATTAAATCGCTGGCTATTGAGGTTGCTGCAAATAAAATATCCTTTCGGTAAAGGGTCGAGTTGGTAACCATTTTGATGAATTTTGTTGCTGGTGCATACAGTGCCACTACAACAATAGCATCTGGATCACACTTTGCAATCTTGTAGAATGCATCCTCAACGTTGAGTGTGTTTCTTTGATAACTTCCTGATGAACACATTGGAATTCCCATATGGTCAAGTATACGTTTAACTCCTTCATATCCATTAATTCCAAAAGGATCATCTTGATGAAGGACTGATATTTTCCTCGCCATGTTTTTTCCAATCAATACATCCATAATTGCAGCTGTTTCATCATAGTATGATGGTCTAATGTTTACAAAATTTGCATGAAAGGGCTGTCTCAAAAATGTAGCTCCTGTGTAACTTCCAATCAGAGGAAGACCAGACGACACTACCAAATCATAGGCTGCAAGAATAGTGGGTGAGCCTACCACTCCAATAAATCCAAATATTGTCTTGTTTCCATTCAGAAAATTATTAATGTTGCGAACTGTATTGGGTGGTTCATAGCCATCGTCCATACTGATCAATCTCAGCTTCTTCTTTCCGAATATACCTCCAACAGAGTTGATTTCATTAAAAGCAGCTAATATTCCATTTCTCAATTCTAATTAAAGTACTCACTATAGAACATTTACATGTTGATACTACTTACCTGTCCCAATTGTGCTACTAGGGCCAGAAAATGGTGCCGACTGAGCAAACCAAATCTCATCATCATTGTTCCAATTGTATGTGGCGAATGGATGTAGGCACTCTACAAAGGTTGGAAGTACAACTAAGAGTGTAATTAATAATAATATTATCAGGTGATTAATAAGGTTTTTCTTGTAGTTGTTGTTATTCTCGCTTTTTGCTATTGTATTAGCATTAAAATAATTAGTATTCCTTGAATTTTGTGATACTGTTCTCGTTGTAGCGGAAGATGTTCTTGTCTTACCAAAAACATGTTCCAAGGCTTCTTGATGATGTATTGAAGAAGAATGCGTATCATCATCCCGCACAGTTTCATCCAAACTTCTCATCCTTAATATTGTTTTTGCTTCTCCATCATCCCTATTATTGTTCTTGTTGTTGATTTGAATACGATTTTTATCCTCACTCGAATCTAAAAAGTACGGTTCTCGATGAAATAGGAACATGTTGATGGAGGGAAAATTTGGTGTAATTGTTCTACTTTGAGGCATTTTGTTTAAGGGTGGTTAACAAATAAAATAGAGAGGGAGGTGTGTGTTGAGGATCATGTCAAAGTAAGGTGCTCGTCGTTTGTTGGATAGACAAGCAAATGACTTGCCTGGAGGGCTTCGTGATATCCATGCACTACAATCTATTCGCACCTAAAGCAAGGATTAGGAAACGATTCTTTTTGGCTTGCTTTTCTCGTCGCACATGTTTTTTGTTTCACACTAATTTTTTGTTTTAGCTCATTTCTTGCTTTAGTATCTTTCTGAGGTGTGTAGTTTGTAGTGTTAATCCAAGTTGCGACACTGTCCTGCTCCAGATGCAATACACTACCTTTACTGCAGTTCCAAGTTTGCTTGAATATTGGAGTGGACTCTTTACCGATACCTTGTTTGTAAAAAGTCCCCTAGTTGCTATTTTGGAAGGAATTTTACCAAATTGTACCTTGGAGTGTTTTAAGCAGAATACACAACATGACCTAGGCCAAGAGGAGAGGTTGTATTAAGCAGATAAAATATTGTTGGTGTTCAAAGTAAGCACTGCTGGATTTTAAAGTAGAATAGTGGAAAGGATAGCTTTTGTAAGAATAACTGAAATGTACTAAAGTAGATATCTCTTCGTCGAAGAATGTACTTCCTTGAAACGAATGAGGAATTGTTCAACGGTATACAAGTTGTTTCAAAGACTCCAAACTATAATTGAGATATCTAGAAATAAGAAACAACCTACAAATTTAATCTTAATTACATATTACATAGTTTTTAATAATTTACATTTACCAATCTCCATCTCTAACACTATTCTTATCAAATGTTTCCTTGTGTGTCACAACATTATTGATTTTGACTGTGGAATCATCTTGTTGTGACCATGCGTACTTTTCTTCATCGATTTGCTTGACACTCTTAACTCCAGACAAGATTTCACTCTTTCCAATAGTTCCAACATTTTCAGTGTAGTGATCAAACCAAGGATAATTATAACTGGAATAGGTTTGAGCAGAAATTGGAGTTGGTGGAACAGATTCACCAGTAATTTGGGCAAACATTTCACTATTTACAATGTGGATGAAAACTCTTGCCTTGGTGGAGACGTCCCAGAATTCAGCTCCATATGGATCTTCAATGATTTGTTGTTTCATTTTACCTCCTGATGCAAGACCCAATTCTTGAGCCTTAACAGAAGAAGGTACTGATGAATTTTCTTTCTTTCTTTCAGATTTTGAATCGCTTGATTTCCTCATCTTTGGTGCACTATTTGATGGTGGTTTGGATAAAGTGGTGGCTGTTGAAGAGGTTGTTGCACAGAATAAATCAGATACTAAAGATGATGATGATGATGGTTGTGAAGAGTATGAATTTTGATAAGATGGAGCAGATGGAGGAGCATAGGATTCCTCACTTTCACAACAATCAAAGGAAAGAGATTGAATAGAGTCACAAGCTTGTTTTTCATATGAACCCAAGTTGACTAATTCACAACATGGCACAACAGAATGTTGTTGATAACCCTGTGGTGGTTGAGGTGAAACCATTGAGAATCCAAAAGAAGTAGGAGGAGGAGGAGAAGTCATTGAAGGTGGTGTGAATAAAACTTGTGGTTGATAAATTGGTTTTGGTTGTTGAGGAACACTTCTGACTGGTTCTTGTGGAGCAAATTGTCTCTTTCTCTTTTGTTCATTTGGATTGAAACAGATAATTTGAGCACCTCCTACTTTATCCTCACCAGTGACTTGAGATTCGACAGTGTATCCTTGTCCGAGTGGCATGGCAATGAATTGTTTAATGGTTCCATCTCCACTATTAATACCATCCAACCATGGTTGCAATGGAGTTACTACATAATCCTGAACAGATCTGTCCTTCATTTCTTCATCCCACATTTCACCACTCAAAGCATTCACTTTACCAACTGCAACCTTCAAAGCATGAGGATGTTCAGAGCTTACATTTAGGAATTCCATCCACATGGCTTCACGTTGATAGAGTGGAATAAATATACCACCTGTCTTTTTCCACTTTTCAGGAACTCTATCAAGATAATCATCAACTCTCTTTACAGGGAAATTACCTAATGATGGTGGCAGAGGATAAATCTTACCATCATCAGGTATACGTAAAGTTCTATGGAAGGTAATGATGATATTATCATCGGGATCGTTTGGTGAGTAGAAACTAATTTGATTGCCATCGACACGAACTGACAATTTGTTGTTTGGTGTTGACATTTTACTGTTTGTAAATATATGGATTGTTTTAAATCTATTTTTTTTGGATTGAGAAAAAGGTGAATTTCTTGTGGTGGATTTATTTGGCCACGAAGGTTCATTTGCTTGGTGACATCAACAAACAAGGAGGATGTTCATTGTTCATATAATGAAAATCTCGCTTGTTATTTTCATGAAAAAACATTTTATGTCAAATACGAGCAGCCCTGCTAGCTCAGTCGGTAGAGCGTTGGACTTTTAATCCAACGGTCGTGGGTTCGAGCCCCACGTGGGGCGATTAAACTTTTTATTCACTTTTAAAAAAATTTCTTTAAGATAAAGCGTATCTCAGAACAAAATGAGTCCAGCCCATTATTTGGGTAAAGAAAGGTGTCTCAGCTTATCATTTTACAAATGAGCAAAGCACTTTTTATCTCAAGCCAATTCCTTATTGGAGATGAACAATGCCATATTATTAAGGGATTCCCATTGCTGATATTCACTCGTTTCACATAATCTACTGAAAGTATCCATAACATTCTGTGTAACATCATTGTAAAGTGCTTGAATTTGATTGAATGGAATAACTGGTCCCCCTCCACTTACAGTACTTCTTCTAGGAGTTCTGCTTTGATCTGATCCTATATCTGCGTCATCTCCAACAAGATCATCCCCCCTACTTGCTTCACTATCTGAAACAGATGATAGCTTTCTGAAACTATCTTTAAATCGACCCATCATTGGAGAGTTGTTATTCTGAAATGAAGGTGGCATGGTCGCCTTACTTGCAAGTTTTGGCGATGAATGAACATCATCAAAGGCCTGATAAGGAGTAGCTCCCGAGAATGAATCATAATTTGGGAAAATATCTGTTGGAAATTGGGTGATTCTTTTAGAGAATCTGTCTTTAGAAGTTGCTGACTCAATCATATGGTAAGTGTAGAGAATTTCTCTAACGCTCTTCTTAGTTTCAGAGGAGACGTTCACTTCAAATGGTGAATAATTCTTTACATAATTATTGTAAATGAACAGTAAATCCGAAATGTAGAGTTCTCTCCTTTTTCTATATTGTCTCAGTATCTATTGCCAAAAAGATTGAACATGTAAATGAGGATTGAGTTAATGAAAACTTACATTGTAAAGGAAGAGATTTTCCGATGAGAATTCCTTCTTAGCATAATCTATACAAGCATTAAATTCGTAACTATTCAATCTATAACATACCTTCAAGAAGAGAATAAAAATCATCATTTTCAATTAACTTTTCCAAGAAATCAGCTTGGATTGCACTTCCACTCAATTCTGTAGAGAGGTTTGAATTACTTTTCATTGCTCTTCTTCTATAAACTTTGGACATGATAAACTTCTTGCCACGTCTATAGAGAATGACAGCTGCTGCAAATCCATAAGACCATGTTACAGCACCAGAAAGGCCCAAAGAAAGGAAACCAACAGCTTGTGCAGAGAAGGCAGCAATGTTATAGACATAGTAATCACTGAGAGAAATCCAAACAATTGAAATCAATTCAAACCCACACAATAATAATTCCAATCTGTACAATAGTGGATCGTCGAATAGAATGAAGGAAATGAAACCTCTCTTTTTCAATCTCTTTCTATTAACAATCAAATCAAAAATAAAGAGGAAAACCATGAAAAATGTTGCCAATACATAGACAATAATGGAAATTCCATTTCTTATAATATAATTCTCCGGAGCATAGTATTGAGCTATGAAAAATGACGGAGCAATAAGTACTACCAGTACTATCCAAATAATAACAAAGACCAATTTGGATGCTGCAACTCTGTGAAACCGAATATTCCTATCCAATACTTCCTTATCTTCTTTCATTGAGAAATTGTATGCTGATCCATTATTTTCATTCTTATTCCTCTTTTTCATGAGCTTGAACATATTTCTCACATAAAAGTAACGAATCACATTCATGGAACGTGTAATAATAACTGTAACGATACAGGCACTTGCCAAACCGTAAATGACATTCTCAGGAAAATAGGAAAACCTGCAAAATAATATAGCAGAGAAGAGTAAAAATCCTGAAAAGCAAACTGGTGTTACAAATGGGGCTATGAAACGATGCTTCATCAAGTGTTCACTTCTCATGAATGGAACAATGACAGCAAATATCAAATTAATTAGGGAACCAATAAGGAATGGAACAAATGAGCAGTACAATCTAAAGTACAAGTAATATCTCTTACAAGAGAGTGGATATGGGAATATGTAATCCTCACAAAATGTTGGAGTTGCATCTGAATAGGCAAGTCCTGTAATATTCAATACAGATCCATCTATGCCTGTACACAAATTATCAGTACAATTCGAAATAATCTCATCCATTATGGTTGAATTGACAAACTGGTTGATAAATATTTTTGATTCTGTTGAAGTTGGATTTCTTCCCAAATATATAGACATTGAATTTGTAATTGAAACTCTACTAATATTTCCAAAACCATCAATAGAAGGCCACAATAAATTGTTCAAATTATCAATCATGTAATCATAGACGACCCATCTTTCAAAACACTCCAAAGGATTATCTCTACAAAAGGTGTACATTTGAGTTTGTGTCAGTAAGAATCTTCTTGTAATTTCTTCAAGCCCACTAACACTTGGATTATCTTTCACAATAATACCATATCTGAACATGTTGATTCCATCCTTTGTATAATTGAGTGATGATTCAATAATATTAAACTCTCTAGGATAATAAAGAGTTGTAGTTGTCTTTCTCACTTGTGTGAAAATGTATCGATCATCCACAAAGTATGCATCAATATCTTCATATAAAACCCTCATATACATGAGGTCATAATTTACAATCTCATATTTAATATCACTCAAACTCATTCCTAGTTTATATAATTCATAAATCAAATATTCCAAATGATGTTGACAAACAGCAACCTTCTTATTTTTCAAATCTCTCATCGATGTAATTTGTTTTTCCTTCTTGGACATTAGAATTAGATTCGTTGATTTGGCAAATTGTGAAATGAGCTTGAAGTTTGTAATATTGTCTTTCCACAATTTGAAAAGTGAATAATCGTCAATGATTAAAAATTCTGCAATATTAGATGTTGTCGAAGTGGTGGTGAGAGATTTCTTGACTTGATCATATGGAATATATCCATTATATCTATTTACTTGTTCAATTTGTAAACAATTATTTTCATAAAAAGCTTTCGAACCAATGTTATTGAAATCCGATTCTGCCCAGTGAAAGAATGGTGTAGGAAGGGAAAATATGAAGGGATTAGTTGTTTTACATTTATCCGATGAGGTGGAACTTGTTGATGATAGAGAAGATGGAATGTTATTAGTCTGGCTTGTATCCGAAACTTGTGGAATGTATAGAGAAGGCGATTTAGAATGAACAAGGTTGTTGTTGTGTATTGTGAAAACGATGCAGCTAAACAGTAGCACAAATAACCACCAAGGTTTAGACAAGTAAACCTTTCGAATAATAACCATCTCTAAACTCGTTTTTTTGTGATGATATTATTTTTCACAAGATGAAAGGTGGTGGCGATATATTCAATGGACTTTTAGAGTTCGCTCTGATCTTGATTACAACAATACTGTGGTCAGTGGAAAAAGATTTTTTCAATATTTCCCTTCTGGGAGAATGAAACTCTTCATTGTAATGTTTTTACAATAAATAAGATCAAAGGGTAATTAAATTTTTAATCAACTATCCTTATTGAAATATCACTCAATTTGTAGTTGGAATAAGTTTCCTCAACATCAATTACTTGATTTTTCAAATTTTCCTTAAACAGCTAATGAAAATAGTTCGAAACGAAATTTGTGAAAATATTCAACAACTTACATAAATATTGCCCAAATATCTTTCCAGTAAGAGAACTACGTTTGAATAGCCAGAATATTGAGCCTTTCTCTTTGGTGTTGCACCGTCCTAAATTTTAGAATTATTCGAAAGGTTTCATAAGAATTATTAGTTATGGAAATGAGATTGTTCTTACCTTATTCTTCAATGTTGCTTTAATATTTGGATGATGAAGTAAACACGTCACAATATCAGTATAACCTTCCTCACAACAAAAGTGAATTGGAGTGTTTCCATGGATATCTTTCAAATTAACCGAAACTCCTTTCGAAATGGCATATTGGACAATATTCAAGTTTCCCCATTTACAGGCATGATGTAATATATTCCTACCCATCTATTTTTCAATTATTTTCAAAAATATCCAAAACACAAAAACATTCCAATAAAAAATTCATATGTGAAACAAACCAAATCAATCAAATTTCCAGTTTTCTTCTTTTCTATCACTTGTTTAACATATTCCAAATTCGAAATTAAACCTGCACAATTAAAAAAGTATTCATCCACTTGTTCTCCATTTACAATTTCATCCACCAATGTATCAATATCCGAATCATCATTATTTATTACATTTCCACCATTATTAATGGTAGTAGCAGAAATAGCACTTTGATTCGTGATATTACTACTATTATTCGACAATAATTCCACAGAATCATTTGGAATTATTGTAATAACTCTACTCAAGTTATGCATATACATGATGATAATATGTGATGAAAAATTATATGTGGGTGTAGGTGCTGTTGATGAGTTTGATTTGTTTTTTTATTTGGTTTTTTAAATTGATGAAGGCTATTTAAAGAACATGTTCATTTGTTGTTCTCTCTGCTACTTGATTATTTACTTCTTCTCTGATGGATGAATTGATGAAAGTAATGAAAAGGCTTGTTTTGATTTTTGAGTTTGTTGTTAACAAACCTCATGGGTGGATTGTGTTATTGGAAATTCTTCATGGTACGATTTCAGAAAAGAAAGAGCCCAGATACATATCGCTGATTCGGATAAAGAAATGCTGTATGGAAATATTGATCCACACAATCATGATCATGCTAATGAGGAAGTAAAACATTTTTTTTGATTGAGGTTCTCTTAATTCAAGATAATACCTCATGATCCTATTGGGATCAGCTACACTGAAATAAAATTTTTTTTGATTGAGGTAAAGTCAATAGGCTTGTTTCGAATGTATTTTGTTTCCTTGGTCCATTCTTGCTCTACCAAACGTGGCACTAATTACACTATAAAGAGAGCAAGACAACTACCTTCTTGCATAATTACAATCATCACTACTGTAAGGATAATACTGATTTTGTAGAATATATGGCAAGAATAAGTTGCACCTTGTTTTACCAACAAGGCCTTCGTGACACAACACCTGGACCCGATTCATCATATTCTTCCTTTGTTTTCCATATGGATTGAAATGATTCTAGGGAGCTATAGATTGATTGACCTAACCAAATGGAATGGTTTCTTTGAGAAGGAGCAATAATGGAAAGTTTTGATTTTGAGATGGAATCCATTTCACTTTCCAATCTCTTCTTAAATCCATTGAAAAGTGTTGTTCCTCCTGAGAGAACTATATTCGAATAAAGATCTTTTCTATATTCAATTGGCATGTTAGAAATGGAATGATTTAACATTTCGTGCAAACCAGAAAATTGAAAACTCGATGAAATCAATTCAACATTAAATAATGGTTCTGTACATTCCAATAATTCCTCCTCCATGACAATCCTGGATCCATCAGGTAAAGTAAAATACTTTTTCGTTATCTTCTCAGAGGTGTCACATGTGAAATAGCCACTTTCCTTAATTTCCCTCATGACTTCCCTTCCAATAAATTCTGTCAATGAACATTTTCCTCTCGACATGACCAATTTCAATAAGTAATCATTCAAATCTCTTCCACCAAAATTCATTCTATAAACATCGTTGGCACGGAGATCATCTGTGAATGGAGCTACCAATGAAACTCCATCACCACACAATAATGAAACTCCAAAAGTTCTCCCCGAGGCAAACAATGCCATTTGTGCTGAATTTGCAAAATAAATGGCTGGTATATTGAATGTTTCAAACATGATCTGTGTTGCTTTTTCCTTATCAGCCCTTGGATTATGAGGCAGGCTATTCAATATCACTGGATGACATTCTGGTTCAACTTTCATTTTCTTATAGAGCATGTGATGCATTGCATATTCATAATTATCCCAATTCACTACAACTCCATTCTCAATGAAATAATTCATTGTCAAGTAACTCCTTTGCAAGAGAACCTCCTCACCAAAGAATTTATCATCGGGTTTATCTGGTTTAGCCTGGTAGCCAGTAGTCCTGTGACCGTTGTAGTAATGCATTGGTGATGTTGCAGTTCTACCACAAATGGTTGGCATGTCAAAGAGTGGAGCCTCTTCTCCAGAGAAGCCACATTTAAACCTACCCGAACCAATATCTATTGAAATGGCTGGAGGAATGAATTCTTCTGAATCGTATTGCATTGAATAATTGATATTTTTTTGAATTTAATTATATTTCAAACTTCAAAGAACAAGGAACTGGATTGGAACTCTAACTTGACGAAACTGAAAGAGAATAAGGATTTTTTGAAAATTGAATTTAATCCTCTGATTTTTTCTTTGGAAATTCAAACTCTGTTAATTGCTTTCGAAGCTCTACAAAAGAATTGCCTTTTCCCAGAGGAGGTGGAGTAAATGATGATCCATTGGTAGTAGGGGAGGTTTTTTGCTTTGTTCTTTGAGGAGGTGTATTTGTGGAAGATGATTTGGTAAGGAATCCTCTTCTCTTTGAATTGTTACTAGAATGCTCTTCTATAATGTTCATTGCTGGTTGAGCCTCATCGTTCGTGGTCAAAATTGGTTGTTGTTGTTCGCTATATTGTTCTTCGTTCAATGTTGATAATTGTTTATGAGTGTCCTCAATTAAAATCATATTATCATTTTGCTCATTGTTAGTGTTACTTTCTGGTGAGTTTGAGGGGCTGGGCAAAACATCAGAGGGCGCCGATATGGCTCTCTTCCTCCATAATATTGAATCATCATCTATTAATTCATCAAGCCTAGTATCTATAGAGTCATTGTTGAAGAAGAACAAATTACTCATTCGCCTTAATGGATGATTTGAAGGTTTGCTGATTGGATTCAGATCCGATGATGGTGTAGAGGAAGGAGTTTGAAATGTAATGTGTTCTCTCTTGGAGTGTTGTTTGCTTAATGGTGGTTCATCATCATTGTCTTCGTCAGTTATATTATCTGAAGAATTACCTCTCCTATTTGTTATGATTGAGGTGGAGCCATTGTTGCTTATACTCTCTACCTCAAATACAAACGAGCTATATAGTGTATCAAGTATTTTGGCAATTATGAGGAGTAAGACATGAAACATTGTTTGGACAAGTTGAAGAATTGAATAATCTGAGGCAAGAAAAGCTGAACGATTGTCCATACTTTGAAATTCAAGTATTGAGTTTTTGGTTATTGGATATCAGCAATACTCTCAGTTTTAATTGAAATATAACACAGCTTAATGTTGTTTGGTTGGTTTTTTCGAGAGTGTTTGCGCCTGTTTAAATTTCTATTTCAGAACAAAGAGGCATCATCAAAGCCCCTCTGCTTTTGCGTGATTTACCCAAACCTGGACGATGAGGCATTTTTCTTTGCTCCTTAAATGAATAAGCAGTTCTACATAAGGATTTAAGGACAAACACTATGAAAAATGGTTGCATCTCCCTCCATTAAGGAAACCTGGACAGCACACGTGGATAAGATTTTAACAAAGCTAACGCAAATTTTACCAAGCGTTGAATTGTCCCATTGGAATGGAACGATATTATTCAAACATTCCGCCTATCTTGCAATCCAATAACAAGTTCATCAAGTATCGACATAGATTGAAAAATTATTCCAGAAATCTGTACATCTATGAAAAAGCATTTTTCTAATTTTAATTTTTTAAAAAATGAGTGAACAAGAATCTTCATCATCTGCTGCCTCTTCCTCTTCTTCAACAACAGCACAACAAATTGATCCCGAATTGGATGCTAATCGTGTCATTAATACTGTTGAAAATGATTCTATGCAATTACATCAATTTGAAAAACAATTTGTAACACAAGTTTATAATGAAATTGCTCCACACTTTTCAAATACTAGATATTCTAGATGGCCATTTATTAATGAATATATTCTCGGAAAGGAAAATTGTTTGTTTGCTGATATCGGATGCGGAAATGGTAAATATATGCAATCATGGAAGGAAACTCTTGAATTTAATAGAGGAAACAAATTATCAAAAATTTCAACTAGTAATTGTTTTATTGGTACTGATATTAGTGATGGACTTGCTGAAATTTGTAAAGGAAGAGATTTGGAAGTTATGGTTGCCGATAATACTAGATTACCATTTAAATCAGAAAAATTTGATGTTGTGATTAGTGTGGCTGTCATTCACCATTTTGCTACACCTGAAAGAAGAATGAATGCCATTAGAGAATTATTCAGAGTTTGTAAACAAGGAGGTGAAGTTTTAATCTATGTTTGGGCTTTTGAGCAACAATCAAAGAAAAAGTCACAAGATTCTTCAACACCTTCCTACAGGTATCCACAACAAGATGTCTTTGTACCTTGGCATTTACAAAAACAATTTGATAAGAAACCAGCTCAAAATGCTGAAAACTTTATTCAAGGAGAAGATGGAGAAAAGGTCTACAAGAGATTTTATCACTTGTTCAAAGAAGGAGAATTGGAAAAATTGGTCGAAGAAGCATCCTTCACAACTTGTCCACAAACTGGAGAAAAAGTTCAATCATTCGATTTTGAGTTTGTAAAGAATATGTATTACGAAAAAGATAACTGGGGAGTTGTCTGTAGGAAAAAGTAAAAATTTAATCTTCAATTTTCATGTTTTTGGTCACAAAGTCAAATAGATTTGTCTTGGTTTTTTGTTTTTCAGAGAATTTTTCAACAAGTCTTAATTCCAACCAACATCTCTTGGCAACTGTGACAAGTTGGCCATTACTGAGCTCCTTGCTATAATTAATATTATGTCTCATTTTGAGCTCTTTGGAAACTTGTTCTGTTGGTAATTCCAATTCCTTACTTAACATATCCAATGCAGAACCATATGGTTCCTTCACGAAAAGGGAGTTGATATCAGATACATGACTAACATAGGTAGTGTTCAAATTATGGTACAAGTAGTTGACCTTTTCAATAGCATTAAATGAAACCTTGACACATTGATTTTGAGTGAGAATTTTGTAAAGAGCTACTGGGAGAGGTCTATCAATCTTTTCAGCAAGCATCTCTTCGGCAGTTGGAGGTCTATAAACAAAGACAGTGTCATGATTAGCCAATAAGATGAGTCTGATTGGTACAAGGATGTGAGTTTCGGTTGGGCTTTCGTTAATTGTCTTTTCCTCCTTTGCATTCCACAAAATGTCAAATCCATATACAGCATCCTTCTTTTCCAAAGTATCGAATACCTTATTAGCCTCGGCAATTGCCTTGATGTTTTCACCACTCACATAGACAACTTTGAGATTATCAAAAATTTCATCTTTTGTTACAGTCAATTCTCTAATCTTTGTTGGTACAGTTGTAGTGGTGGTAGTGGCAGTAGTGGTAGGGCTAGTAGTAGTTGTTGCCTTCTTGGTTTGTTGCTTAGTTGGAGAAGCATCAACAGCAGGATCCTTATTCTTTGCTGCTTCATTCTTGGTTGATTTTGGTGATGTTACATTGGTATTATTTTGTGGAGTTGTGGTTGGTTCTGTTGTCTTTTTCTTAGGAGTAGTAGTTGCTGCTGTTGCTGTTGTTGTTTTAACAGTTGTGTTAGTTGGAGGAGGAGTTGTAGTTTTTGTTGGTGTAGTTGTTGTTGTGGCTGTAATTGTCTTGTTATCCTTCTTATTGTTGGCCACAGTTGTTTGTGTAGTGGTGGTTGTGCCAACACTCTTTGATCCGAATTGTTCTTTCATGAAGGCCAATCTCTCCTTTTCAAAATCAAGGAAGGACTTCATGAATGTTTCCATTTGCTTGATGAAGGCTTCATGTTGTTTTTCGTACTTTTCAAAACGTGATTCTGATGATGATTTTACATTCTTTGCTTTTGGTGCTGTTGTTGTTGTTGTTGTTGGTACATTTGCATTGGTAACAACCTTGTTAGTGGTAGTAGTGGTTGCTGGTGATGAAGTATTAGCAATTGGTTGTTGTTGCTTCTTTGTTTTTACAGGTTGTTGTTGTTGTGATTTTTGCTTTTGATCCTCTTCAATGATGATATGATCTTCAACTGGTGGAGCTACATATCCCTTCTTAAGATTTGGATTCAATTTTCTTCTAGTTCCGACATTGGCTGGCATTTTGATGATTATTAATAATATAATTAATTGATGAAGATCTTTTGTATTTGTTTTTTACTTGAAAAAATACAAGACGAAGTTTTCATCGATCCACCTTTTGAATTCCCTGACTTCCTCTATCAGGTAGCTATTAATAATTGCACAGAGAGTTATCTTTGATCTTTCATACAAAGTTCCTTCCATACAACATTTGTGTTGATAGTGAATTTTGATTAATTTGGTAAATTTGAGGCGACAAGTTGGAAGTTGAAAGGGTTTTTTCAAATTCAAATTCGTAAACGCAGCAAATATTGAAGTCAACACATCATCACGAATTAATAATAATTAGTTGCATGGAAATACGAGTTGGTAGGTTATCTACCTAGCATCCTAAAATTTGGAATTAAGTTTCGGAACGTGATTGTTAAAATCTGCTTGTAATTCATGTAGAAAAAGTAACACTAACTTCCTCTTATTTAGAGTCTAATACTTTCATTTCTAATGGTTTTGATCCAGCCATGGTTGCACTCGAAAACCTTGATAATTAATAATTTTAATTCATCGTTCCATATCTAACTACTTTCCAGAAATGCTACCATACTGGAAAGGAGTGAATCCTGGTAATTTCCAACTTTATGAATACTGGTATACTTTTGTAAACATTTTAATTGAAATATTAAGCTACTCTTAATGCATTATCTATTGGAACTATTTTGGATTATAATGCCAATGTATTAGCTGTTATGAATCTTTTATTCCACTCATTGGGATTAACAAACTGAGTGGTTGGATTAAATTGCACAGAAAGTGCGTCTTCTTGATAGTTTCACAAATTTGATTGTTTCATGATGACTTGTTGTGAAATTACAAATTAAAAAAATGATCAACAATCAGATAGGCAACAACACATCAACGGAAAATGCAATTTCTTCGACAACTACCACCAACAATCAACCTAAAATTGCAACATTAGAAGAACGAATTGCTATTAATCAATTATTCAAAGAAAAATTACAACAATTATCAAATTTTAATTCTTCTTCCGATCGTGATGAGGAGAGAATTAAATTATTAAATTTGGAATTGAAAATAATTGCAAAGAAGTGTTCCGAATCGAGTAAATTACATTTCAATGATCAGTTATTAAGGGCATGTTTATTGAAAAATTGTTTCGTATTACCGTCATTCGAAATTTATGGTGGAGTGAGTGGTTTGGTGGATTTAGGTCCTTTGGGATGCAATTTGAAGAATAATGTGATTGGATTATGGAGGAAACATTTCGTATTGGAGGAAGAAATGATGGAAATGGAAACGAGCTCACTTGTACTTGATGAAGTTTACAGAGCTTTTGGATTCTTTTTTCCTTTTAATGAATTTATTGTGAAAGATATGAAGACTGATAAGATCATTCTTGCCACCAAAGTTATTGAGGATTTCATACAGGAAAAGCTGGGCAACGAGGATTTATTAACAAGTGTTCAAATCAAACATTTCAGAGAAATTCTTGCAAATCTTCATTCTTATGATGGTGGTGCCATGAATAATATTATTAAGAGGTTTAGAATTAGGAGTATGGATGGAAATCAAATTTCTGAAGTATTTGAATGGACGTTTGCGATTAAAACACAAATTGGAGTAACAGGTAGAACAAGTGTTTATTTGAGACCTGATCTCGATCAAGGTGTTTACACAAATATTAAGCGGTTATGGGAATATGGTGGAAAACGGTTACCCTTTTCAGTTGCACAGGTTGGGTCCATTTTTGATAATTCTACAACTACTGGCCACTATTCGAAACTGAGGGAAAATTCAAGCGCAAAAATAATGCATTTCTGCAATGGAGCAAAGAAAAATAATTGTGAAAAGTACTCCAAGAAAGTCGAGCAAGTAATTGTGAGATTGCTTTTAGATTCAAATGATGAAGAAACCAAGATTTCGATCAAAGATGCTGCGGAACAAGAATTCATAGCTAACAAATCATTGGCTTACTATCTTGCCAGAACACAAGAATTCATGGAGGAATGTGGATTTTTGAGTGAAGGAATACGGTTTCGAAAACAATTTTCATATAGATTGGAGCAGTTGTGGACATGTGAGGTGTTGACAACCATTGGTTGGGTAGAGGTTGTTAATGTTCAATCCAAAGCAGGTTACGATTTGCTGCAACATTCTCAACATTCTAACTCTGATCTCTCTCTATTTGATTCATTTGATGAACCTCTTGAGGAGAGAGAAATAGTTGTGGAGTTTTCACATCAAAAGCTTGGAAAACGTTACAAGAATGATACCAAAATACTGTTAGAGCACCTTAGTGGACTATCTAAGGAGAAGAAATCTCAATATCAAACAGAGTTGGAAACCAACCACAAAATCTCACTTGATATCAATGGAAAGAATTTCCAATTATCCAAAGATGATATTTCGTTTGTGGAATGTGTGAAAAAAGTTTATGGAGAAAAGATTACTCCTCACATCATTGATCTTTCATTTTCTGTTAGTAGAATATTATTGAGCTTATTGGAACATGTATTTTGGACTCGAGATGAGGAAAGGCCTATTCTTTCTTTACCAAGTCAGTTGGCTCCAATCAAGGTATTACTGGTTTCTAACTGTAAAGTCAAAACTAATGAGGAAAAGATGGTACTAGAAAAGGTTACTAAAATTATAAGAACTCTTTCCATTCCCTTCAAACATGATGAAAGTGCACACTCAATTGGAAAGAAATATAAACGTGCTGATGAAATTGGAATTCCTATTGCCATCACTATTGATGAAGAGAGTTTATTGAATGCAACTGTGACTATCCGATTCAGAGATACCTGTTTGCAAGAACGAGTTGAACTATCAGTGCTGCATCAAGTCCTTTTTGGACTGATTATGATGCAAAGAGAAATATTGTAGATATCATTTTCTCAAAATGTTATTTAACATTACAATGCCAACAATTCTAACCAAAGTAAATCCCATGAATTTAAATCTCAAGAAAAAATGAGCAAACGAAACAGACAAGATTTTGAAAATCATCAATTAATTAATTCGGAGGAAATATTCACTAACAATAATAATAATAATATGGAAGAGAAAGTAAAAAAGCATGTGAAACTCGAACAAGAAATATTTTCAGATGATATTTGTTTTGAAATAATTTGCATGATTGATGATTCGTGGTTTATTTTAAATAATTGTACTTTAATTTCAAAACAATTCTTTAATGTGATCAAGGAACGTTCAAAACTTGTTATTCAATTTAAAAACAACATTACAGAGAAACGAGTTGAATTATTCATGAAAAGTCAGTTTATGAATAGTATTGTTGATGTTAAATTTTCAACAAATTTGCTGGAAGCCATAGAACAACTCAAATTCGTAACTGAAATGAAACAATTAACATCACTTAATATTCGTGGCAATCGAATTGGTGTAGAAGGAGCCAAATATATCAGTGAAATGAAACAATTAACATCACTTAATATTTCTTACAATGTAATTGGTGATGAAGGAGCTAAATATATCAGTGAAATGAAACAATTAATATCACTTAATATTCGTGAAAATGAAATTGGCGATGAAGGAGCCAAATATATAAGTGAAATGAAACAATTAACATCACTTGATATTTCTTACAATATAATTGGCGATGAAGGAGCCAAATATATAAGTGGAATGAAACAATTGACATCACTTAATATTTATTACACTCTCATTGGTATAGAAGGAGCTAAATTCATTAGTGAAATGAAACAATTAACATCACTTAATATTTCTGAAAATGAAATTGGTATAGAAGGAGTCAAATACATTAGTGAAATGAAACAATTAACATCACTTAATATTTCTTACAATAGAACTGGTGATGAAGGAGCTAAATTCATTAGTGAAATGAAACAATTAACATCACTTAATATTTGTGGCAAAGTCAAATTCATTAGTGAAATGAAACAATTAACATCACTTAATATTCGTGGCAATCGAATTGGTGTAGAAGGAGCCAAATATATAAGTGAAATGAAACAATTAACATCACTTAATATTCGTGGCAATAGAATTGGTGATCAAGGACTAAATCATGAGAATTCACTACTGTGGGGAGCAAATAAGTTCAACAAATCAGAGAGCTATTAGGAAGCAGATATTATTTGTATTAATAAACTAAATATCCCCCTTCTCATTCGGGTATGGCTTAACAACAATGAATCGAGGAAGTCCAACTTTATTAAAAAAGAGAGTTAGTGTTTGAAATAAGGCATTTGAAGAAGTTGAACAGCACTTGATCGAGTTTCTTGATTCTTATCCAACATTTTCATAACAATTTCAATCAATTCATTCGAGTAACTAGTATTCTGTTTCATTTGTTGGGTGAGAATGGCTTCTGCATTTGCTAATTGATTTCCCATCAATAAATTTCCAATAGGAATGGTTTCGTCTTTTGTCATGATTTGATAAATCGAAACTCCCAGTGAGAAAATATCAGTATTGAATGAATATGAGCTGCCCAGTGCAATTTCAGGACTTTAAAAAGTTTAAAACTAATGCATAATTATAAAACAAACCTCATAAAAAGTGGAGTTCCAGCATAGGATTGACCTTTCATTTCTTGATACTTTTTAGCCAATCCAAAATCAGCTAAAACAACTTCAATGTCATTTCCAGAAAGTTTTCGAATAAAAATATTTGAAGGTTTGATATCTCTATGAATGATTGACAATTCTGAGTGGACATAATTCAATGCACTTAACATTTGTTTCATAATCTTGCGAATAATATCTTCAGAACATATTTCCTTCTTTGTAAACCTTGTCAAGTCACCATTCTCATAATAATCCATATCTATACAAAGCAAATTGTCATTAGTGATGAAATAATCATTCACTCGCAATATATTTGGATGATTGATATTACTCAATTGAGATGCTTCTTTCATAATTGTGTTCAAATCGGTGAATGATTCAAATCTCACAATCTTGATTGCTTTTACCTTATTTCCACTCTTTGTATCTGTCACTTTGAAAACACTTCCAAATGCGCCTTGCCCAACTCTAATCATATTAATATACCTAGAAAGTATGTCTTCCTTTTCTGACATGTCAGAACCAAGTGATGATGAAATAATGATTGAACTACTTGGAAATTCTGACATTTCCACAATGTTTGCAGTTGCAATTTCATTAATTTCCTTTGATTTCTTCTTTTTGAAAAGTAGTAATGCTATGACAATAATTACAATCAATATCACGATAATCAGACCTACTCCAAGAATAGGAATGACAATGGAAACAATCAAAATTGTTGACTGATCGGTTGCCAACTTGTCAATAGATTTTTCACAATACTGCCCTTCAAATCCATTCAAACATTCACAAACATCTAATTCAACACAAGTTCCCTTTCCATTACAACTTGTTGCATCTGATGATATTGTTCCATTGCAAGTAATTGCTTGACATTTCTCTCCATAAAATCCACTCAAACAGTCACAAGTATTATTGAATGAATTGAAGCGTGCTCCTCCTTCACAGATAGGAGAAAGCTTTCTAATAAGGAATGTGTCAATAACTGAGTGTTCAGAAAAAATAGTTTCTTCTGTTTTCTCATTGAAACTAAATGAATATCCCAAATTAATAAAGATTGTATCTAGCCCTTTCAACTCTCCTGAATAATAACCTGTCATTTGACGAGGTTTTCCTGCTATATTCTTCAATAGACCTGTTGCTTTTACAAATTTTCTAATAAGGTAATTTCCTTCATCCACAAATACAATATCCCCATTCTTTTTAACATGGAATGCCTTTGGGTTTTGTACAGATGAACTCAATGCAGGTAAATTATCACCTGAATATCCGCCATTCCCATCTCCAACAATAGTTCTGAGGTAGTATGAACCATTTTGAGCTAGCTCCAAAACTCTAATTTTTGTATTTGTGCTAAAGTAAATTGTCTGATCACTAATGGCATAGGAAGTTGAGATCGTCCCAATAAAAGTGCTATTTCCAACATGACCATCACTTGGTTCTATTGGACTAAATGGAAAACTCCTAAATAATGCACGAATCATACCTGAAGTCTTTTCAAGCTTTCCAAAAAAATCAGCATAACTAATGTAGAGATCACCATTTACAGGATTAACTGAAAGGCCTTTTGGGGGATTTGTAGGTAAAGGAGATTGTATAGCTGGAATATCTGGTATTACATCTCCACACATACTTCCCGCCACTTTTTGATATTTCAATGTTTTTGGGTCAATTTGTAATATTCTACAATAATCAGAGAAATATATCATGTTATCAAATGTTGAGAATATCATTTTCGTGTCAGTCTTTGGTTTAATTGCTAAAAAAGGAGAAGCACTTGTTTGAACTAACGAATTTGATGAAATTACTTCAACAGCTGGCAGAAGAGATGTAACTTCTCCTGTTTTCTCATCATACTTCTTCAACACATTATTGTCCAACATGTAAATAATTTCATTAATAGGATCTCTACAAAATGAATATAGGGTTCTTCCAGTTTTTTTCGAAAATGGACTACTTCCCACAACAGTGCGCACAACTCCATTATATATCACACGTATGTATGAGGAAGCAGTAGAGAGATAAACATTATCATTGTCAGCATGTATAAAAGAAACAGAGCTAATTGATACATAATATTTCGAATAACATTTGTAAAAGAGCTACTTACATTACCGATTGGTTAGCATTCACATTCTCACCACTATATCCAAAAAAATCAATGCTATTCCCAACAGAATATTCAAATGGATCGACACCAGCAACCTTTTCAACTCTGAAATTACTTACGTTTGCTTCGTAGAGTCTGTATGTATTGGAAAGATAAATCTTTCCAGTTTTGGAATCTTGTGATATCCTGTTAACACCCCTTGGAACGGCTATCAAAGTAGTAGTTTCGTTCCAATTAACTTTTACAAGATATCCTGATGTAGAAAAGTATAAATCATTGTTCAAAATTGCAAGGTTAGATGGCACCAAACCTGTTGGCATGGAGTCTTGAACACTTTCATTCTGATATTTGTAAATAGTACCTTCATTGGAGAAATATATAGTGCTATTCTTGAAAGAATTCCCAATGCCAACTATTGCTGAAATTGAAAGAATTGTCTTGGGGCCAACATTAGTAATTTTCTGCATTGTAAATGTTTCTAAATTGAGAATATAGAATTCGTTTGAACTAGTAATTACTAAATCTCCATTTGGAAAACAGAAAACACTTGCGATATACCTAAAGACTCTTGTTGGTGAATTTTCAGTTCTCAATTGAATACCCGATCCAAATATTGTCTTGATAAGCCCATCATTGTTCGAAACCTTTCTAATTATATAATTTTGCTCTATGAAGTACAACTCATTCTTGTATGTGAATGGTCTATATAATGTATTGAGTGGTGACACCTCAAATCTGGGAATGTCTTCACCATATGAATGATTAATTAATCCTCCAGAGAATGTTGAAACTGTCTTTTTCTGTGTATCAATCTTTCTCACACAATTATTATACCTATCAATAACTAGAATAATTGAATCTTTCACTATCAAAGATCGAGGTTCATAAAATCTCACACTCGAAAAGGAATCAATCAAATTATCACCTTCGTATCCAAAAGAATCTTTTTCACCAATAATTGTTGAAGGTTGTGAAGATCCAATGGAATTCATTTGAATGAAATGTTGTCTATCTGAAGATGTCCATATTTCATTCGCTGATGTTACAGCTATTCCATATCTTTGTGAATTTGAATTGTAAAATGAACAATAAAAAAAGCAGTGGACACTTACAAATTGGATTTAAGTTCAGGAATGGCAATCACACGATATTTTCCATTGCTATCAATTAATTTTAGTCTTTCTTCATCAGTGAAATAAACAGTGTCATCTTTACCACTCGAAACAACATGAATATTCTTTGGTGAGTGAAGAATGATTGAATTTCCATCAACATTATCATATGATCCATCCAAATAACCAGTTCCTCCAGCAATAGTTGTCAATACCTTTTGGGAAATATCATATTTCTTTATCATATTGTTTCCAGTATCTATTTTGGTTTCGTATGAAATAGCAAAAGACAACTTACCTGCAATATAAAGCATGTTGTTAGAGGAAGCAAACACTCCCAATGGATGTTTGAAAGTGAATGGCAATGATGAAACCAATCTTGTCTCCGCCGAAACCACACGAATCTTATCATTGTTCGTATCAGCAATATATAAATCACCATTAGGTGCCACACTCAATGATGAAGGAGAGTCGAAAAGAGTTTGTTTTACATCATAACCATCCTGATTGAATCCCGTACTGCCCAACCCTCCAAACACAATCATACTTTCATTTGGAAATATCTTGAAAATATAGTTTCTTACACAATCTGAAATGTAAATTTCATCATTTAGTCCAAAACAAATTCCACACGGTTCTGCCAGAAAGGCATGTTTAGCAGAGAATGTCCTGTCAAAATCTTGTCCATTTCCTTTATGTCCTGTCAGGGAATGTAATTGATACTCCTCTGCAACAACAACACAACTCCTCTGCAGTAAAAAAGGTTGTGCAAAACAGATGAATAACAATATCACAACACACCAATAGGAGATACTAATATTGTGCATTTTTTTTGGTGCCTTTCTAATTTCTATTGTTGCCTCCTGTGTTGCCCTATATACCAATTTAATTGTCTCATTTGAACATGAACAGGATATTGCAAGATAACATAAATGAACCTCCGCAGAGGTGCGTCCTTCCATGGATCCTTTGATTGGTGGAAGTTGCCAATATTCATGAATAGTTCTACCGGTCCGAAACAATACCCAAGTGATTTACAGTAATTAGAAGTATGTTGAACATGTTAGAGGATTAAGTTTGGCCCTAATCAGAAAATGTTTTGCAAAATGACAGAATCCGTATTCTGTATTCTGTAGATTTTGTTCCAGTAAACAGTGGAAGTCAGTTTTTTCAAACCATAACGGTTTATGAAAATTTCCCTTCTTCACCTATTTATCAAGTCATCACTATCAAATCTATTGTGCTTCTTGACAAAGGAGCATACAGCATAAGAAAAAAGAAAAGCTGCCCAGATCAGCACCTCATAGAGATGCCAGAAAAGTACTTGCTTGGCAGTGGAATCCTCTGATTTCCACAACTGAATTCAACACCGATTGAATACAGGCCATGATTACCATGCGTGCCGGGAATGAGGTGCCATCTCTAAAGCTTTTTAAAAGCCTTATTAAAGAATTAGTTTTTTTTTTGAGTGTTTCTGTAGTGAATGAGCATGTGTTAAAGTAACCATCAATTGTATTACAGTTTTTGAGGAGTAAAAAGAAGAAATACAGAATAAATAAATACATTGAGGAGAAAATATTTCACTGCAATATTTTTCAGCCTCTTTTCTTATTAAACGACAAGTTGCTGTAATGGTTGCCGTACAACCAACTTGAACCATTTTGAAAAAAATGAATAAATACAACAATGCGTTTGTTCATACCAAATTCAACTCAAAACAAATATCATAATACATCAACAACACTAACAATGAACAACCATGAAACTGTACTCTGTGAAGGAACTTTAGACATGTTTGATGCTCCATCTTTTACTAGCATCAATATTAGTAGTAATTCTTCATCTTCTCCGTCATCTAATTCTCCATCACTTGTTTTTCATCTTTCAACATCATCCGACTTTCAAACATCTGAACAAACCAAACAAAGTTCAAGTGGAAAAAGATCTAAATCAAAGGCAAAGAAGAGGAAAGTTATTTTGGATGAGGATGATGAACGTGATTATGAGGAGTGTGATTTTATTTTGGAAAAGGGAGTTTATTCATATGCACCAAAGTATCAATGTTGGACAGATATTTCAAGTGAGGTAAAACAGGTTTATAGAGTGGTTTGGGATATGTTTGCCAAGTGTGCCCGTTCTATCATTAATGATCATTTGGAAATGAGAAACACTAGTAGAGTCCACCATCTTACTCTTGGTTCATGTCTACCAACAGTCTTTTACTTGATATTGAAGGAAACAAATGGTGTATTCAATCAATGGTTCCAAGTTGTTAAGAAGCATGGTATTAAAGTTAAGGAAGAATGTATCCAATTTCGATTCAAGAATTGTCTTCCATGTTTGGATAAGTATGATGATTGGGGCAACTTTCAGGTTAAGCTTATCAACAACACGTGCAAATTTGGCCAAAAAGTTTTGTTACATAGGATGAAAATTAACTACATCTCCCTACCATCAGTGTAAGATCCAATCAAGTCTAGTCATCATTCAAATTGCGAGAAAGACATGGAAATTGTTGTTCAATAGATATAGCCGTTTCAATTTAAATTCAAAAAAATGAATCAACAAGTCAACCATCAGGTAATCATCAACCAACGTCAATCATACAGATCACCCTTACTCTACAGCCCATTCCGTTGTCAACCAGCAACATGCCCCAATATCAGAGCCTTCAACACAACACCCACATCTCAAATACCAATCCACATAACCTCTCCAAACTATGTGGTGTCTCCGAGTCCAACACCTATCCTTCAACACATTATTCCTACCTCAAATCATGTAAGATACTTTCAACAACGAGTTAACATTGGTCAACATGAAACAACAACAACTCCAACATCAAACTTCCAACAACGAGTCAACATTCAACATGTGACAACTCCTTTCAATAACACATCTCCAATTTCAAATACCCAAAGACTCAATTTGACTCAAGATTCAAATGTTGATGTATTAAGCACCCAGTCGTCTTTTTTACCATCTTCTTTTTTAGAAAATTCTGAACCAACACCTCAGGAATCTAATAAACGAGCTGCTTCTTCTGAATTAGGTTCACCAAAAAAAAAGGCACCAAAGAAGGCCTTGGAGAATATTGATTATTCTTTGGAATATGGAGAAATGGACTTCTCACAATTTGTAGAAAAAGACCACCCTTCAACCTTTATTAAGAATAATGGAAATGTTTATTCTGTCATGAACATGAAACAACTTTCGTTAACTGTAGATCCAGCATACACATTACTGGCAGCTCAATCGTACATGTCAAACTTCCCCAACAGTAAATTTATTACAACCTCGAGGCAGAGTGCAAATAGTAGTGAAGTACTTGATGTCAGAACAAATGATTCATGCTACAATGACAGAACAAGAAAAAGGCTTGGCAGAATATTGGCAGGAGTTGAGTTAATGTTGTACAATATTGGAGTAAAAAATTTCTCCCATCTCATTGAACTAACATCCTCATACTTTGAAAACTACTTTTGTGATATAGTTTATAAACTTCCAGTAGCTAAGAAATTAAGGAAAAGGTTAAAATGGGACAGCAAATTGACAGAAGAGTTAGAACAATTTTCATTGTCATCTCAACAATACTTGGACAAGACAGAACCTCAAATGGTTTATTCTGGAGCGGAAAGTGAAGAAGACTTTTCGAGTGATGATGAATATAGCTCACTGAGTGATGACGATGAGTTTGATTCAGATGAAGAGGGAACTGAGGTTGATTTGGAATTAGAAAAAACAAATGACAAAGGACAGTACGATAGAGAAAAACAACTAAATGAAGATGTAACTACCATACCCGAATCCGAATCCCAAAACGAAACAATTTTTACTGAGCTAGAAGAAGCCACCGAAGAAGAATCCAGTCTCTCTGGCTATGACACAGAGGAGTATTGGTCTGACAAAGTGCCAATTCGAACCAAAAAGAACAAAATTAGGAAAACCAAAATCAGAAATAGAAAAAGATTGAGTATTAATATTCGAGTGGTCAAGGA